CCCCCTTCCCCTGGGGTTTTGCGTGTCTTGATGCCCGATGCCTTTTTGCTTATATAATTGAGACGAGAAATGGAATATCAATATATAAAGAAAATGCACGTGTTTGCTTTATGCCTGCTGGGCCTAGCGTCAGCTGCAGTTATCCAGAAACGCGATGATTTCGGTGACGGTGAACCCATCGATGAGGCTACTGGCAAGGGCGCCTCTATTCTCGGTATGAATGGATCTTGTCTTGTGTGAAACGCTGATAAGACCACTACCTAGGTACTAACCAGGATTTAGGAGGGACAAATCATCAATTGGATCTCCAGAATCCGGCCAACCTGGGCCAGCAGAGTACCGATGCTGGCTACGTGCCCAACTTGAAATGGAGTTTCTCAGACTCCAAAACAGACATCTACCCGGGGGGCTGGATGCGTGAGCAGGTTGTCTCTGATATGCCGCAGAGTACTGACATTGCCGGCGCACAGCAACATCTACAGAAGGGCGCTATTCGTGAGCTGCACTGGCACCGCACTGTATGTCTTTTTTTGATATCTACCTACCAACCTTGACCAGTCTAGCTGCAGGAGTACTAAGAGCCCAGGCCGAATGGGGTTACCTGTACAACGGATCTATTCTTTTGTCTGCAGTCGACGAACAGGGTCGATATCAGATTGATACGCTTGTGGCCGGTGATGCTTGGTACTTCCCAGCCGGTATTGCGCACACCATTCAGGGACTGGATGATGAGAACGAGTATCTGCTTGCTTTTGACGATGCCGATTTCGAAGCTCAGGGGTATGAAGAACCGCCTTGCATGCTTTTATTTGATTATATATATAATGTATACTTGTTCTAACGGCACAAGAACAACTTTCATGGTCGACGACTGGGTTGTGCATACACCCCGGGACATCCTAGCCCAGAATCTCGGGGTCCATGCCTCAGTGTTTGACAGTGTCCCACCAGTTTATCCCTATATCCTGAATGGCACCGTCAGTGCAGACACGAATGACACTAGCACGCGTGTCGGCAATAGCTCCTTTGTGTATCATGCCCAGGACCATCCTTTGGAAAACATTGCTGGCAGTGGAGGCACATACCGGCGTATCGATTCGTCTACATTCCCCGTTGCGACGACTCTTGCAGCTGGCATTTTCTCACTGGAGCCAAAGACCTTACGGGAAATGCATTGGCATCCGAATGTAACGCTCTCTCTCTCTCTCTCTCTTTAATCCTTCCTTAACAGTTAACTCCATCACTGACTAATGCGAAATTGATACACAGGGTCAGGAATGGCTATACTTCCAAAAAGGAACCGCCCAAGCAACCGTGTTCATTGGAGGTCAGAAAGCGCGCACCTATGATTTCCAGGCTGGCGACGTTGGGGTTTTCCCAGTCAATAGCGGTATGGCCGTCTTTTCTATCATCTTTTTTTTTTTTTTTCTTTTTTTTTTTCAAGCAATGGCACAAGAAGCTAATAAAATATGCAGGGCATTATATCAAGAACACGTCCGAGGACGAAGAGTTAATCTGGGTCTCGATCTTCAAAAGCGACAAAGTCGAGGATATATCACTCACGCAGTGGCTGGCCCTCACGCCACATGACGTCGTTGCCACTGTTCTGAACATCCCTGTTTCGGTGGTCGACCAGTTGAAGACTCAGAAACAGGTTTTGATCAGTGGTTAGCAGTCTAACGACATGTTTAGAATAATGCAGCAGCATGGACAAGATGGTACCAGCGTCCCTACGTAAGTGTTGATCTCGTGGTAATATGATAGAGCATTTTATATGTTTTTTATCTTCGTACAATTATAGAGACGATGGATACAAATGGCAAGGGAGATAGAAATAGAGAAATGTTGTATCTAGCAATTAAACAGTCCACCATGTAAACGCCCGCCCGCTCTAAGGAAAGAGAGAGGGGAAAAAATAGAGAAAATAATAATCAAACAGCCTCCGACCGTCTAGATCGAGTCCTGCTACCCATCGATGCAGTTGTGTCCGCCCTATATATGCCAGATGCCCGCCCGGAAACACCTGGTGCATTGCTAATATTCGACTCTCGACGACGGAGACGTCGTTCCGCATCTATCCGTTCTTTCTCATGCAGAGATTCAGACGGAAGAAGAATTGCTCGATCAAGCGCGTATGGTAAGCCACGGTGTCGACCACGGATTTGCATGGCGATAATAACGAGTTTGGAGATAACCCTGAACTGACTGGAGAAGGATGCATCTGTGGTGGGATAGCCCATGGACAACCCAACTGTTCCATAGGCCGAGACAATCTCAAACAGAACCGCGAACAGATTAAAGGAAGCAGCCTCAGAATTATTTTCCAATCGATCGCCTTCAACAATGGCAATGATAAACAGCCCCAAGAAAATGTACCATAAATCGAAACTCAATTGCCGACGCAAATGCGCTCCAATGTAGCTAGGCTCTTTGGTCGCGTCGCCGTCGTCATCCTCATCGCTTGGACTGTATATACCGAGACTTCTTTCCTCGTACACGTTGGTCCGTCGCATGGAGATGGCGATAGGGAAAACAGAGATGTACATCATGATCATATAGGAGACCTGAATAGCAGGGTGCAAAGCAGCGATGTCGACTACACCAAACCCAGCCGTCCTAGTCGAAAATGCTTGGAAGAGACCGTCTAGAATGCGATACCCCACTGGAATGCCGGTGATAATAGGGTCGTTTAACTAATAGATTGTGTTAGCAAGGAGAAAGAGAGAATGAGACACAGAGACCTTGAAGAGAACAGAAGGAATATCAAAAGATATGAGGATACTCACATCAAGTATAATAAAGAAGATCAAGTCCACAGCATTCAATACGACCAGAATAGCAAAAAGCCACCATGTAGCATTGCGAGGAAACAACAAGGTGAAACATCGGCGAGGATGGTCTAGTAGAAAACGAAGTTCCTCCCACAGAGCGCTGCCAGACGTTGTAAACTTTGAAAGAATCCAGATCACGAGGCGGAGCATGCAAGGGAAACCCGTGTTACCAATGACAATAAGAAAACTCATGACGAGAAGGGGCCAAATGGCTTCGTAGAAAGAATTCATGGAGTCAGGGGTCAAGGTGAAGCCCACATCGTTGAAGGCCGACTGTGGTGTGAAGATACCCCACCATGGACGTCCTTGTCCATCAGAAGTTACCACAGACCCGTATTTTTCACTGGTCATAATCCAGGGCAGGAGACACACAATGCCGAACAGGTGGAAGCCGACAAAATAGCCGACCAACACAAGTGCCAGTGTTTTGAGGGCTCGGTACTCGATGCCACCGAGTTCTTCGCGTTGCTCCTCGGTCAGAGCAACGAAGGCGGAATTTCTACCGACTGTAGCATTCCAGCTCAAGTACGGCAAGGTATCCTTGTCTTGCTCCTGAGTTATCGACCTGAAAATACCATTGATGGTGCCCCTTCGAGTTCGGGTTCTTAATTGGTCATTGTCACCATCATCGCGGCCCGTGGTACGTCGTGATTCAACACGAGGAAAATGAGTAGTTGCCGTTCTGAAACGGATGATGTCCGGCTCGTTGATGGTGATATGGTTAGAAAATTCGTTCGTCCCGCCTTGTTGCTGTTCATCGTCGGCTGGTCGAGCCTTGGGACTGGTGGGCTGGTTCTCAACAGCTTCGTTCAGGGCCTGGGGCATACCGCCCCGATCATACTCTCGGGGGCTGGGAATTCGCAGCGTATCTTTGTCTGTTCGCTGGTGCTCCAGAAAAGCAATATGATGCTCGGGACTCCGTTGGGATGGAAGACGCATGCCCTCAACCTCGGATAATGGAGATGGCGTAGGCAGCTTTGGAAGGCCATCGCTCTCGCCAAGGCCATTGCGGGTTTTACTTGATGAACCCGTTTCGGAATTTGCATCTGCATCCGGTTTGGGGGCATGCACCGTATCGCGCGCTTCCCCGTCCTCGTTGCGCAGGACAACAATGGACTGGCCACGCACGCCCTGTCCTTCGAGCGCATTGCTCTGCTGGTCTCTTCCAGTCGTAAATGTCCTTGTCTTTGTGCGGCGCAAAGCACGCGCATCTCTCACGACGTGTTGAAAACGCTTTTCGAACCAATAAAGCCGCACAAAAACAACGAACGTATGGATGACGATAGGGTTGGTCCACATGGCTATAATATACAGAAAAATCTGCGCATAGGTCGGAACCTGGTTGAAGTTGACGGTGTTGAGTCCACTCTGCGTAGCAGCACCGCTAGCAAAAAATAGAGCATCGATGTATGCCATGTTGCTCCCAGGATACACTACCACAGATCCAACGATGGCCCATAGTATAAGATAGCAGTAATGCAGCGTAATGAAATTGTATTTGACGTCACGAAGATAAGGAATCCTATCGTGCAAAAAGGTCAGGGCTCTGACGACTGGGCTGGCTATCGATTGGACGTTTCGAAGTATCGAGGTTCCCCTGCTAACAGTGCGATCGTTGCCGGGGCTCTCCATCGTGCCGGCGAAGCTAGTAGTAGTTGGAGATAGGGTGAAATCTTAGAAGAGAAAGAAGCCAATGGCTCCTTCGCGATTCAGTAAGAGGGGATCCGGCACTCCAACAGATGCGTGCACTCGAACAAATCGTTTGCCCAAGCTAGTTGGTCGAGTGGCGAGCCGAACGACTGGTTTCAACCGAATGGTTGCTAATCCTCAGGAGCAGCCAGCCCGCGCTTCAAAGTGATGAATCGGAGCAGAGTCAATATCATGTTGTCTGTTAAAGGAGCCAAGAGACGAAAGATGTCAATGCAAACGGCGACATGGGAGAGGTCTGAGAGTCGCGCGGTCGAGTACGAGTGGTGTGCCACTTGAGACAAGACAACCTCGAGGGAGACGGTGGCGTGAGGCGGTCAGGAGCTATAGATAGATGGGATATATAAAAAGAGAAGAAGGAATAAAGGAGGCTACGCGGTCAATGCTGGGGACGGCACGAGTGGTCGACTGGAGAGAGGAAAGGGGAAAAAAAAAAAAGGATGCATGCATTAAAATTATTCTGCTGCGACTTCAAAGAGAGACGCGGCCTGGCTGGCACGTGCACGCCGCTAAATGCGCCTTCGGGGCGGATCAGCAACGTTTCCTTTTATGTTTCTTCCCGCACAAATTTATATCCGGCTTCCCTTTCGTTACGCCAAAGAAAGTCAAGTCAAGATAGATCCTATTTACTCGTCTGTTTATTCGCCCATCCTCTCACAGCAACTAACTACTAACTCTCATTCACAGCGTTCGCCAGCAGCGCTTGCTGGGAGCAAAGACTGGCTTGCACGGAGGGCGGGTTGCTACTGGCGTCGCCCCAGTTGGCCGATCCCAAAGCTTGACCGGCGGAGGTGGAGTTGTCCGAGAGAATCTAGCAAGAGGCCGTCAGTAACGGGGTGCTGCTAGGATGGGCAGGGGGTTGTTTCTCGTCATACATAGTAGCCTGGGTCGACAAAATGCCACCAGTCATCGCTACGGAAAGCATTATCATCGGACTGGCTGAGAGGGTCATTCCAACCCGTGTTCCGGGTGTCAAAATGGGCGTGCTTTGACCATGATACATACACTTTCGGATGGTCGTTGTTTCGGACACCGCTGGGGTTAATCGCTTCGCCGGCATTGACTTGCTCCGTCGTAAGGGTGTTCTGAATATCTCCCCAGGCGAGATCGTGGTATCCGCTGTGAGCCGAAAGCAATGCCCGACTGGGAGCCCAGGAGTTCTGGGCCACGTCCTTGGTATGAATGATAATAACACGCTCCCAGTCGCTGTTCAAGCATTGTTAGTTTGCCTATGGAATCAGCGAAGGGACAAGGGAACAGGCGCGCTCACTAGTCATGTCCTGTATCGATGACATCTGCCACCTCAGCTCCATCTTTCTGATAGAACAGGTTATATACGACTCGGACTTCGGTATCATTGCATTGTCTGAAAGTGTAGTAGATCGGGAAAGCCGGACCGGGGTTTCCAACTGCCACATCAGGCTGGCGGCAGGCACAGCCCACGTCTGGATACTCACACTGGGGTGCTGGAGGAGTTTTGTGAGCCGCATCGTAGATGTCAGGTGTCGAGACATTGCCGCTGAAAGCCCAAACGGGATAGCAGGGGGGTTGGTTCATTGCCTGGCCGAAAAACCACATTGGCGCATACATGACGGCGAGGTCGACCGCGTTGCTGGTGAGAAATCCGTTCATCTCATCGTTGCTGATGGAGGTGGCCGCCAGGGCATTCGAGGCCAAGGCGGCGACAGCAGCGGCCGTAATCACAGCGTCCATCTTGAACTAGTTATGTCTGGAGGTAAGAAGGCACGACTACTGCTTGAGAACAGATCAACATTTATATAGAGCGCTAGAGGGACAGTCTTTGCTGGGCAACTACTAGATATCAGGCGAGCCGGCATGGTGCTACACAACATGGCCCTTCTGAACAGGTAAGCTATTAGTGTTTTGACTACGTTTTGGCTCTGATGTCTATTAAGCGTGAGGAGCGCATGTTCGCCAGAGAGCGAGTGATTGTATCTCGAGACTGTCTGTATGCTTGGAGCGTTATTAATCCCAAAATTATATTGTATGCCTGTAGAGCGGCTCGCTACAGTGTAGATGACTGCGGTGGTCAGATGACCTGCCCCAACAACTTCACGTGGTCCCGTCCATCGCTTCATGACTTCTGCCCTTCTTCTCAGCTGCTTGACTCGCCCAGCGTGTGGCCATCATCATCCAGCCTGTCGCTCTGCTCGTCGAGTTCCGACCACTTCGGCTTCCCGTCGTGAACCTCCACCAGACGTCTGCTGTAGAATATGTGGCAGCTTGGAACACAGCTCAGTTCACGGTTCAAAGGAGGTCAGAGAGAGAGAGAGAGAACAAAAAAAAAAGCAACTGAAAATGGAACAACTCACTTGATGTCAAAGACCTTCCGCCGCGTTGAATGCTCCTCTTCCGTGTGACCGAGATCTATCAGCTCCGGAAACACCAGGCACATGTTTCGCCCTTCATCCATGATTGGCGAGTTACAATTCGCACAGTACACCTTGGTCGGGAGTTGATATTCTTTGCTCTGTTCATGCGACGAGTAAAACATCAACGAATCTGTGCCTCGCTTAAAGCGAATGTCGTCTTTCTGGAAGATCGCACACCACTGGAAGGGCGCAGCTAATTCGGAGAAAAGACTTTCAGTTAGCTCGTCTCATCCAAGTAGTGTTGCATAATTTGGCAATGCTGTATCTAAGGGAACAGGTCAACTTGCCATGGAGAACTTGACAGGCTCGGCAATGGCAGTATTTGGCTGCCAGCGGTCGCTCCCTCTTGATCTGGTATTGCACACGCCCGCAGTGGCACATGGCCTGCCACTTGAATGGGCCAAATTGCTCGTCCTTCTGGAGATGATAAGGTGCGCGAAACTTCCACGACTCATCTTTGTGGCGGTACGATGGATCGGGCTCCTCGGACCTGTCTAGATGGGACCTTGAAGGAGAAATGGTGTCGTTTACCATGCTGGCAAGATGTCCAGTATATTCGTCTTTAACACTGCGGTCGTTGCGATGCAATTGAGTTAAACTGTGAAACTGGTGGTATTGTGCGGAGAAAATACTGGATAGTGGTGTTGTTGTTGTTGATCGTATACAAGCACGCCTATACCCGATCAAGGCTGGAGACTGCTGACAGATATAGAAAACTGGGCGGAGCATTGCCATACGTGCACATTGGATCTTAAAGTACGACTGGTTTTTATATTTCTTCAGAGCAAGAAATCACTCCAAGTCGAAGTTGGCTGTTGGAAGGCATATCGTGATGATGATGTCATGGCGATACTCCTGGCCAAAATATCGCCAAACGCAACTAACCCGAAAATTATGGCGATATAGATACAATTCTCCCAATTCCGGTAAATTCAGCTGCAGCATCAAAGGCTTGTTTCCAGTCACCCAGACCAAAAGACATGGTCTCAACAAAATCAGGGCTCCTAGGGAGAAGGCCCCTTTCCAGCATTTGCACAAAGAGGAGAATATCATTTCTCTCATACATCAATTTCCCCCTAAGCGAGAGATTTCTCGCCATGAACTGCCAATTCACAATGGGCTGTGCCACATAGCCCATCAGACTGCAGCGTCCTTCATACCTCAATGCACTGACAGCACTCTTCAGGTGGGTTGATTCTGCTGCAGCGGGCGGAGCAAGATCCAATACTGCGTCAATATTGCCAAAGGCCCGTAGTGCGGCCGTGTCTGCTATTTCATCGCCTGACATCTTCACTGTCTCGATAGTAGCCGATGGTAAACCCTTTCCCACATGCGCCTTGAGTCTTGCCAGCTCCTTGTCGTTTCTACCCATGGCAATCACCCTCGCGCCCATCGCGGCAGCAACGTGTACACCTGCACCCCCAAACCCGCCGGTAGCCGGACAAATAACCACCGTCTCGCCTGGCTGGAGCTTGATATCACGCAGCCCACCAAATGGCACGAGCAGGTGGCCCAGATAAACCAGGTCCCTGACCGAGTACCCAAGTTCCTGGCACAATCTAACCTCATCAAGCGCGATGCAGTTCTCTAACGGTGCCTTTACAAACTCTGAGAATGACCCGTTGCGCCACACATCACGCGACAGCTTCCGGCTGCCGTCAGTCATGCCATCGTGAATGCCGAAAAGGAACTGGTTGCTTGGGTCGTCGCGCCCGCGGATAACACAGTCGATCCAAACAAGTTGGCCAGGCGTTAGAGTAGTAGCGTCCTCGCCCACTGCGACAATGCGGCCAATAGAACTATATCCGCCAATGATTGGCGTTGGAAAGGGATAGGTGCGCTTTCCGTTATAGATCTCACGGTGGTAAGATAGTACTCCAGCCTCGAGAACTCGACAAACCGCAGTACCGAGAGTGGGCTGTGGCGTAGGAAGGGTTTCGAGTTGCAAGTCGGCCCCTCTTTCTCTCAAAAGAAGGGCTCGATGTTGCGGTGGAAGATGAGATTGCATGGTTGATGACTGATGATGGTGATGATAGTCAAGAAAGATGCGCCGGCAGTCAGAGATATATATGCATATATGCACACTAAAGAAAAGTTGAAGGACAGAAGTTTGTTCATGACGAACTTCATCTAATTTATACTTGAATTCTAACAAGTCAGAATATATATGCTAAATCCGTCTTCTATAAGAGCGGCTTTTGCATACTCGGCCCCGATATGCTTATACCCGCAGGGATCCAGTAACTTAAAACAATCGAAACAAATCTCCATCCGCGTTAAAATCCGACGTCTGCAAGATATCATCAAGATCTAAGAAGGGCGAAGTAAAGTCTAACTGGCCGTCTCCAGCTATACGAATCGCTTCATCATCTGCTAGGGAAGAAATCGATGATACGCTCAATTGGGCTTTAATAGTGTTACAAGCCATCTCCAGACTATCCTTTGCGCTCTGTATCATCTGTTCCTGGCGTGATTGGCCAGGTATCAAGTCCTCAGCCTGGCTTAGAACAATACTGAGCTTCATGTGTAGCCTAACGTTGGTTTCGCCAAACCGCATGCGCTGAGCAGACTGCCGTCGAGCTTCTTGTACAGCAGCCATAAGCATGCTCTTGTAATTCCAAGGCTGATTCAGAATCGACGTTGGTGATCCCTCCTCCTCTTCGATCTCAATAAGCAATTCCGACGCTAATGCGAGCGACACATGGATCATACGATTCTTGAAAATGCCACTACCACGCAGGACGAGATGAGTGAAATCTTCGCTTTGTGGCGGTAGAAGCAGAGCAGTTGCTGAGTCATAAACAACTTTTCTGGAAAAATAGAACAGAGGGCTTGTTCGGCCTCGATTGGCCAGTGGGCGATGCAAGCTGAGCAGAAAGCGGCGAAGCAGTAGGTCGGCTAGATTGTGACGAAAGACTTGTTCCTCGGCATCATATTCACTGACTTGGATATGAGTGCGGCATTCGCGGCATGCATTCTTGATGTCTGTAGTTAGAGTAATTACTTCTGCCTGCGTTAGTTCTGAGCTGATTCCGTTCATCAACCGGAGTATTTCAAGCCTTGAGCGTAGAGCGCTAAACAGAAACCGTTGGAGAGATGTATCTGTAGCTATTACAGAAGTCTCCAAAATTAGTTCGGTTCGATCATCTATATCTACATCGTTGATGTTGGATGGAGGCTCGGTGTCAAAGTCATGAAGTGAGATATTTGGTGGCATCCCTCCATCTAATGCCGCCTGGACGTTCATTTCCATCACCGTGGCCCAAAGTCTTCTTCGAATCTCTGCTTGTCTGTATTTGGAAACACAATAGAGTTAGTACTGTGCTCATACACGCCCCTTTTTCTTGAGGCGTATACATCGGAAACCCACAAGAGACTCATTTTTGTGAATTGCCTGGGATCACGATGTAAGCCAAGCTGCATGGCTGTTCGCACAAGCGTCCCCATTGCTATCCAGATCAAATCTCCACCTACTGATAGGCTTTGGCGGGCAAGTATCAACAGGCACTGTACCTGCAGCCCTCTTATGCACAGTCTATCTTTCTCCATCGGAGCAGACAACCAGGCCTGTGCAGCGTATACCCATTGGGACATCGCCGAGCATACTTGATCCGAGTCATAAGAATCTCGATAGAGACTGAATCCAATAGCAATCACGAGCTGGACCGTGTACTGTACATCATCGCCAGAATCGGCAGGATCTCTCCAATACTGTTCGTATTGAGACCAGAAAGACGGGATGTGAAGAATGCGGAACACTGATTCAAAACGCGAGATATACAGGCGGGCCATCGTATCTGCAAGACTCTTTTCTGGAAGTGCTGGTTCAGGAGACAACAGACACCTGGTTCTGGTTGGCCTGGATGCTTTAATGCCTTTGGCGAGGAACTTGCATTTCTGCAGTAGATCACGTATCTTCAATTTCAAATGCCTGATGCGTTCGCTGTCTTCGGGATCAATAGTTTCAACACGCATAAACTCAGATACTCTTTTAAACTTCAAATTGTCAGCTATACTTCGTAGCTATGTTGGACTTGCCGTAGGAACTTACTTCATCGAGATCATTCGTCCAGTGAGTGGGACCAAACAACCGCGATTTGTTCAGTGTCGCTTTTGACTTGTCGGATACTGAACTAGATTCAGATCTGGCTTCATGTGCGCCTGATGGACCCGAGGATGGCTGCTTCTCAACAGCGACAGATCCAGGAGCAGAAAGCGAGAGTGCACGCTCCAATGTCTGGACACGGCGGTCGAGTGCATTGATTTGACGCTCCTTGTTTTCAGCAGTGCTGGGAAACCGCCCTGTGACCTCATTGGGTTGACTTTCAGCAGTTGACAGTGGACTAATCAGAGTCGATGTACGATCTGCTTCTAGATGCCGGAAGTGGCTGGGATCAGGTCGCGTAGTTGTGACAGACTCCGACATTTGGCGCGGAGTGAAATGAGTGGACGGCAGCAGACGAGGTGCCGTGATAGATTCGGCTCTCTTCTCGCTTTGCGAAGCTTCATCACTGTAGATACATTGCTTGTTCAACACAAGACAATGCCTACAAGGCTCCTTTCGATCGCACTTCACCTTTCGTCGGCGGCATTCGACACAGGAACGAGGGGGCCTGCGACGCCTCCGCACAGCCCTGACCGTAGTGTCGGCAGTCGCAGAGGTTGTTTCGGCCATTGTCATACAAAATTCCGCGAACAAGCCCCGAATGACTTGGAATGGGGGTTTTCTGGTAGAAGCAGCAGAGTCCGCGATGATATGACGCGCTTGACCTTATCTCCGCTTCGACCTATAAGGAGGCTGGGGGGATTTCCCGCGTCGGGGCCGAGGAGAGTCTTTCTCTCTCTCTCTGGGTGTGCATCGAGATATTATTTTTTATTCTTTCAAGTACTTCTTGCCTATGTAGTCAAGAGTGTTAATAATCATGTTTTTGTCATGACGGTATTGTCGGCCAAAGAACTTTTCCGTTTTAGCAGAGTCCGACTGTGATGTGGAACGTGACTTGGGAAGCCCTAACTGTCTATGCTGAGCATATACATTTGACGATGTTACAGGAAAAAAATTTCACTCCAATAAGGACTGATAGGTAATACTACCAGATGTATTTACACATGAAATTACTCGCGAATCAGCCAACTTCTAGAAATTCTTCTAGACAAACTTCTTGACTTGCTCTTCGGACCAGTCCCAGAACTTCAAGCTTGTGCCAGCGCCACCCTCGTCCTCTGGTTTTGTCGCTTGGACCAGATCCTGGCTGATGGGATAGAACCGACCCCATGGAATCACTATGATTTGTTCAATGTTAGTGCTAGCGCAGCTTCCCTTTTAAATCAAGTTTAAACAGTCGATAGGCAATACGTACGCCAACTCCCCGATTTCTCAATCGTCACATCCTCACTCACTCCAGCGTACAATTCTGTATAGGCACCCAACTTGACCGGATGCGTAATCAACATGAGAAACATCCGAAACAACCAATTTGTCTGATCGCGATACAAATCCGAGGCCAAATTGCCCGGATTCAATGGCACACTCACAATACCATCCTTCCGGTGCCGTTTTGCGTACTCTACCCCGTACAGGTAGTCCCCGACTTTGCTGATTGCGTACTTATACATCCCATCCTTGGCGATGTGGTAGTCAAGGTTGTCCATGTGCAGCCCGACGGATTTTTCAGCGCCCATTTCGGTTCCTGCGGAGCAGACCCATACTACGCGGACACTGTTGCTGGCGTAGGATTGTTCCGCCTGTGCGGTCTGGATCAAGATGGGGGTCAAGAGCTTCGTGAGCAAGAACGTTCCCAAGCAATTAACTCCCAACTGAATCTCGTATCCCTGCTTGGTCGTGCCTGGATTTGGCGTCTGCAAGCCCGCATTGTTAAACAGAACATTCAGTTTATTTTCCTTCGCCAGGAACTCTTCAACTGTGCCCTTGATAGTACTTAAATCGGCGAGATCGAGACGCAGAAACTCCAACGACCCTTTCGAGTCTGGGTACAATTTCTCAATATCGGCGATTGCAGTAGCTGCCCTTTCAGCCGAGCGCGCGGCGACATATACTCTGGCGTGTTGGGAGTATAAGACGCTCGCGACCTCTTTGCCAATGCCAGTGTTCGAGCCTGTGACGACATATACCTATGCCCCGGTGAGATTGCTTCAAGAAAAAGTATACAGCTCGCAGAGGAGCATACCTTGCCTTCGAGATTCGGCACGTTCTTCTCAGTGAACATGGGTTTAGGAGGAAAGAAATTGGTCCAGATGCTCTTGAGTGACGCCATAGTGTCGTGATATAGAAAACAGCAATTGCTACAGTTTTGTCAAGAAGCTATAGAAAAAAATTTTTAGTCTTTTTTTTTGGCAAAACTACTACCTCAACTACATGCCAATTTATACCAGGTTTTGAGGCGATTGCGGTGGAAATAGTCGATGCACGTTAACTCCGCCGCAAACTCCGGCGACTATTAGAATGCGTGGATAGCAATGGTATAGAGCTTGAGACTATAATAATATGACCTTGAGCTATCACCACAAACCTGAATAGCCGTCAGTGGCTTACAAATTTTGCTGTTGTCATTGTCATTGTCATTGTCATTGTCATTGTCGTTGTCGTTGTGTACGCATGCCAGACCATCAAAGCTTTTGATGAGTCATTTCCTTTTCTTTTTGTTGTTGTTGTTGTCAGTGAGTGCATAAACAAAAGAAAAAAAAGGGTTTTGCATGCCGCCGCTGTTTGGCATCGAGCTGGGGTTCTTTCATGTGCTCCAATCAACAGCTGGCTTCACCTGATGTGAAACCAGCACCTCCGCAGATGGAAGACGAGCTGACTCTTCCTCATCTCACTCCAACAGCGCTGTCATGAACGGCTTAATTCTGTCCTAGAACAAACACTCACATAAGCTGCAAGTCCTCTATTCGTCCATCTGGGCATTGCAGTGGAATGCGTCTGTTCCACAAATATCGCTCTCCATCACGACGCAAAAATGCGGGGAAGAAGACGACGGCGAGCAACAACACTTTTCCTTCAAATCCCACCCAGCAAATAATATCTTCGCAGGTTCTCTCTGCAGTTCTGTCCTTTATCTGTCCTCATGCGCTCGATGAGTCATACAACTCATCAGAAGAGTCGATGACTGCAGATGGATGCATGCTGTGTGATATGCGTGATCTCGCCCACTGCGCTTTGGTGAGCAAGGCGTGGTGCATATCAGCACAGTCATTACTGTCTGTCTCTCTCTATTCCCCGCACTGGCTGGGTTCTGTCTGATCTTTGCCTTGTCCTAGATACCGACATGTCCGCATTGACGCTGTCCATTACTGCGAGCTTGAGATTGAGCTCTTGTCAAAACGAAAACGACACCGCTCCTTCGTTCATCGAGATGCGAAAAAGTTGGATGTTCCACAGATGCGCTTGCAGCTGTTTATGAGGACAGTCAGGGAGTCCCAGAAGCTTGCAGATCTTGTTCTGTCCTTACGACTGCCTTACATGACGCGAGAAGCTAGCAAATCCGATCTTGCGCGAACAGTCTCCGTCCTTCGACATGTGCGGTACGTCGATTTACCAGTCGGGTTTTTCAGCGACGAACCTGCGTCATACACCCTGAAGCAGGAGTTGATGGCTAAGTGTCCAGATATCCGACGAATGACTTACACACATGGCTCAGAAATGAGCATCTCGCGAATCGTCGGTGCAAAGCTGTGGACGAACTTGGAAAGTCTAGAGCTATCGGGACTTCACGTTGACGAAGGCACTCTGCTCCAGGTTCTCGGCTCATTTCCTGCACTGCGAAGTCTGAAACTGGAGAATCTCGCATCCATAGGAGACTCTGTTTTTACACCTTTTCGGGCCATGCCGAATTTTCCACCAATTGAAAGACTGATTATTCGGAATATGACGTCTATCACAGCTGACGGGTTAGCTACGAATCTATCCGTTTCCCAGAATCAGCACGCATTAGAAACATTGGGCTTGACGCAAACTGGCGTTCGACCTGAATCGCTACATATGATTCTTTCCAGGGCCCCGCGTCTCAAGAGCCTCACGCTTGAACTAGATGTGGAAACGTCCTTTCCCGCTCAAGAAATCCCGCTTTTGACTTCGAGTAGTGTTGAAATAATGCATTATGAGATCACCTCCACAGGCAGTCCGTCCGGAATGCAGACGGTGGCCAGTTCGTATTATAATTATCTGATTTCTTCACTGAAGTCAAATTCCTTGCCCGCTTTACGACACCTTTATGCTCTCGATCCTCGGTTTATTGACATGCTGCCTCTCGCTTCTCCAAAGCCTGACCTGCAACAACCGCTGGCCCTGTACACAAAGGGGCCGGACGACTTCGAATGGAATATAACTCAATACGAACCTACGGCGACTGGAAAGCGAACCTCCGTGACAAGACCGGTCAGCTTTCACTTGGCCCAACTCAGTCCGCGGTGGGGAGTTGAGTCTCGACAGAGTGTTCTTGTCGGAAATGGATTCGGAGGATATCTGGCAGTTCCTGTGGATGAAGAGGGACCAGCAAGTAGTGGTGAGAAATCTACAAATAGGAGAGATAGCAAATACGACCTCTGGAGGTGACATTTGTCTTTTCCCTCATCATTTTTGCTCTTAGAGCTTTCACCCTATGCCACGACACCAAAACATACAATAGAATGGGTATCTGCATTCATGACTCTCATTTTGGAGTCAACATCACAACAATTCCTTCCGGATCCTCCGCAATCGGATCTATAGCTTATTATGGGTAGACATGCAATACAAGGGGTCGTCAAGGCAAGCCCCAACATATTCCGGTTATTTGAGGCAGAAGAACTCCCAGCCTTTTTTTGTTCTTTTTTTTCCCCCGATTTTCCTTTTACCCGGACAGGTCAACTAGTTAATAGTGCTGCCGCAAATTTCACACGAGATACCAATTTATATGTGGTTAGAGGCACGTAACATGCAATTTATGTACATATACTTACAAAGCGTTATTACGGGCTTACCTAGTCCTATGTATCAAGGAAATAGTAAAGTAATTAAACTACCGTCTTCAAGGGTGGATGGGCTCTTGCAATTACCTAGGTAGCAGTCATGGCTGCCATCAACCCTAGAAGAACCTCGTTTCACGGTATGTTCAGTCTTTCTAACCAGTCGGCACGCAAAGTAGGAGTCAACTGGTTTAGGAGATCAATGATGGTGAGGGCAGCATCTCCTTCTTTGTTGTCACCAATTGGAATTCTCTTATTGAGAATTTGTGGCGGCAAAGAGGGTGAGTTGTGTGTAATTAGGCAACAACTGCATGGTCAAGGGCCTTTGACGTATCTGAGATCTCTCTGTGTTTGAATGAGTTTTATCTGAAAATTTATGTATTGCCTGGCAGCTTTTGTTACTTATAGTAGTTCCTTGGAATTAAGAGGCAATTGTACTTCCTTGACTTATAATTTAAGCATTATTAGGTAACTTGATGGATATGTAATTATCACACTCATTAAAAATCTTTGAATAGTGTAGATATTTAGACTTGATAATCCACATGACTTTTGTTATTGTTAGAAGTAGAAAATATCTTTAAATAATCTCAGTATGTTTGAAATGAATGACTATATAATATGGTTACTGCATTGGCTACATCATACTAAATGTTGTGGAGGAGAGTTCTAGAGGATAATATGTGATAAATTGATTCAATTGTGTTATAAAACAATCTGTCTTCACCTTTAGTATACTGATATTTATCAACGATTAAAATTTAATTGTTTGATTGGAAGATTGATGATCTTTTAATACTCGTCTAATAGATTAAGTACTGGTTGAGTGGGTGGTTCTTGGATCTTTTCTTGATGATAGTTATGTATTACATGTACGTGTCTACCTCACTATGTAGGCCCTATTAGGCTAATTGAGTGAATATACCAAGCTTGGCTGAAATGCCTTCCCCCGCCTCTTCTGCTGTTAACACATGCTTGTCTCCCTAGTTATGCAAGCACAACGTGGTACTATGTCATGATCTCACAGGCCACACACCGAATTTGTTGAGAGCAGACCTGCGGACTGCATCTGTGATGAAAAGTGGCGGTTTGAGTCACCGTCACATAGTTACATTGCCTCCTTGCATGCGCTGCAATAAGTCGGAGAGACACCAAGGCGGCCAACAAGATATAGAGGAATTAGCCCTAATGCGCCAATAGCTACAGGGGATCTGCATCAACCCCGCGTGCAGAGAGCAAGACTAGGTCCATACGGGGTAAACCAACCAACACAGCAGTGGACTGTGCATGAGAGCTCCGACTCAAATTCCAGACCGATTGTCGAACCGGAGAGTTGTGCGGCGTTGCTCTTTTCCTTTTTGGCCACGGAATGTGTCCGGTGAAGACGCGGTCTGTAAAATCCTTATAACTTGAGGCCATGTCCGGGTCTATTTCCCATAGGTTCGTTCCCCCGCCATTGCAGTCCCTAGCTGTTCCTTTCGCAGAAATTAAGGATAGATTCAATCGAGAGAATGTTGAGTTGTACAGCTACAGTGGCGTTGTTGCTGACAAGCGCAAATGCCTTGGTTCGTCCGGATGAAGTGGTATGTGCTTTATCCATTCTTACAGCCAGACTAACGGACAACGCGAGCAATGCTAATTTGCACGCCTTGAAATAAAAGGGGAGGCTGCCAGCTCTCGGATGGAACTCGTGGAATGCATACGGCTGCGATGTGGACGAGACAAAGATTGTGGAAGCTGCTAGTAACATCAACTCGACCGGCCTGCAGGCATTGGGTTACGAATATGTCAATAGTGAGTAGCTAGCCTGTCGATCTAGCGTTAAGCACGAACGCTACTAAGCTGAATCGCTACAAATGTGCAGTTGACGATTGCTGGTCGGTTCAATCTGGCCGCGACAATGTCACTCATCGCATTATCCCGGACCCCGAGAAGTTCCCGAGTGGAATTAATGGCACTGCCAAACAGATCCATGACTTTGGTCTGAAGCTCGGTATCTACAGCAGTAAGCATAGACTGTACTCGACTTGATGGTGGTGGAATTGAAGCTCACCTAAGCCGTACCTCAGGTGCTGGAACGGAGACATGTGCCGGGTACCCGGCGAGTATCGGATACGAGGACATAGATGCCCAGGCATTCGCTGAATGGGGCGTTGACTGTAAGTCACGTCTAACCACAACTCTCTCAAGCATTGAGCTGTCTCTAACTTCCCTGGCGGGGGGGGAAATAGACCTTAAATACGACAACTGCTACATTCCAGCCATCTGGGACGATGAGTACAATGCCTGCGTGCCTGACAGCGACTTCCCCGGCGTGAATCCAGATGGCACATGTCCAGACCTAGAAGATCCTGCTCCTCCTGGCTACGACTGGGCCACATCAAACACCACAAAGCGATATAACCGCATGAGAGATGCTCTAGTCGCAGTTCAGGACACCAGGGTCATCCTGTTCTCGCTCTGCGAATGGGGCAATGCAGATGTCGTCTCTTGGGGAAATGGAACTGGTAACTCATGGCGTGTATCTGGAGATATCAACGGTATGTTTCCCCGGCTTTTCTTAGAATTCTTATAGGCGAAAAGCGTTTCCCTTTCAACTCTGTTTTTTTCCTTTTTTTTTTAGATTGACCATCCCAGTGCTATTTCTTTTCAATTGTTCTTTGAACACAAAAGAGGAAACATTCAGCAAGAAATGGGTCGGTCCATCGCCTCACTGCCTGCTGAAACAATTTGCGAAGAAATAGCGTTGTGGTCCATTGGAACGCTGCCCAACGTTCTATATAGCTAATGCTTCAATTCCAATAGCAACATGGGACCGAATCACAGCAATAGCCAATCTCAATGCTCATGAGCTCGACAGTGTCGATTTCTTTGGCTTTAACGATCCAGACATGCTCGAGGTTGGCAACGGAAATCTGACAATCGAAGAAAACCGGTCTCATTACGCTCTATGGGCAATTATGAAGTCGCCACTGATCATTGGAACGGACGTATGACTTTCACGCCCTTCATTTGTCTCACTTTTTCAGTCCGCTGACATCCGAGGAACATATAGTTATCCACCTTGCCAGACTCTCACCTCTCCATTCTGAAGAATGCCGACCTTATCGCTTTCAACCAAGACCCTGTCATTGGCAAGCCCGCATTTCCTTATAAAGACGGTTATGCTAATGGCACCTGGAACCCCCAACATCCACCAGAATACTGGTCCGGATCGACCTCATACGGCTGGGACTTGGTCTTGCTTCTAAACTCTCAAAATGTGTCTGCCACCAGAACCGCGGTCTGGTCTGAGATCCCACAACTTCATGGGAAGGCACACAAGGTCGAGGATGTCTGGACTGGGAAAGACCTAGGTTGTATCAAGGACGAGTACAGCGTTGAGTTGCAAGCGCATGACGTTGCAGTGTTTAAAATCACGGGCACTTGCTGAGAGAATTTTGATGCCCAATCTTCAAAAAAAAACGTTCTAGTTTCATGTAAGGAAACGCTAGATGGCAACTAGATGGAACGCACACTTCTCTGAACATACTTTTGTTGCTGAATTTCCAAAATCGAAATCGAATGTTACGTGACTAGTCATATTCTTGTCTCTTGAAGTCCTTTTGTTCATATATAGTAATATCACCAGATACATAATGACACATAAGATCCAAAGACAGAGACGATAGGGGTATAATCTGGTGTTACTTTGGCTATTTCTTTGTAATATTTTCTTTTCCTCTTCCCCAGCTTCTAGCAGTCTGATGTTACACTGCTCTCACAGAACAAGATAAGATTCGTTAGTTTTCTTTCCCTGAAAGAGATAAAATGCAGATTTTTGGGCACTCACTATTAGGAATTTTCCCGTATCCTCCACGCAGTTTCCAAAATTGGCACCCCACATCTCAATGGCCAGGCATGTAAACCAAGCTGGCTATATAGCGTTCCTTGTCCATGATAGCGGCTGTTATTGAGACTCGACATGAGGCGAGGACATCTCGCTTGTCCATCAAAGATAGACCTTGGATGATTCTCATTACGACAACAAGTCGGCGACTATATGGGAAATGTTAGATAAAGCAAACCACTATATATATATATATGAAAGAACGCACCGTTCATAGGCATCTCATCAATCTGAGTAGAGTAGTAAAGTTCGATATCGCGCAGAATACGCACGTCGTCACTGGTGACGAAGTTGATGGCAACACCCTTCCTACCAAACCGACCGCTTCGACCGATTCTGTGAATATAGTTCTCACGGTTGCTTGGGAGGTCATAGTTGATAACCAGCGACACTTGCTGAACGTCGATACCACGAGCCCAAACGTCAGTTGAAATGAGGACACGGGAGTTGCCCTGTCTGAAATCTTGCATAATGCTGTCACGTTCCTTTTGTGGCATTTCTCCATGCATGCTCGACACGGTAAAGTTGGCCTCGCGCATCTTGTCGGTAAGCCAGTCCACCTTACGGCGAGTATTGCAGAAAATGACGGCTTGAGTGATGGTCAAAGTATCATAAAGATCGCAAAGGGTATCGAACTTCCACTCTTCTTTTTCAACGGCAATGAAATATTGCTTCAGACCTTCAAGGGTCAATTCGTCACGCTTCACCAGAATGCGCACTGGGTCAGTCATGAATTTCGTGGTCATGTCTAGCACATCGTAAGGAAGAGTGGCCGAAACGACGACAACCTGAGTGGCAGGGGGTAGGTAACGGTAAACGTCGTATATCTGCTCTCGGAAACCCCGGTTTAATAGCTCATCTGCCTCGTCGAGGACCAACATCTTGATATTCCGAGTTCGAAGGTGGCGTCGTCGGATCATATCTGCCACACGGCCGGGAGTTCCAGAAACAACATGCTGACCGTACTCGAGTTTTCTGATGTCTTCTCCAACATTTGTACCGCCAATGCATGCGTGGCATTGAACATTCATATAATCGCCAAGCGCCATGACAACGGATTGGATTTGAGTTGCAAGTTCGCGAGTAGGTGATAGCACCAGTGCTGACATTCAGTTAGAAAGAGAACAATGACACTATCCTAGGGAAGCTTTGAGCGCCTACCCTGAGTCTCCCGCACCACTGTGTCGATGACCTGAAGAATACTGATAGAAAAGGTCGCAGTTTTACCCGTACCAGATTGCGCCTGGGCAATGGTATCACGACCCTTGCAAATCTGAACGATAGCGCGCGACTGAACTGCCGAGGGAGATTCGTATCCGTATGCGTAAATACCCCGTAGAAGATTCTCCTTCAGGTGCATGTCTTCGAAAGTAGGGGCCACTGTAACCTCCTTGGAGGTCGAGAACTCCATTCGCTCTAAATCGCGTCAGTCTGGAAACCCCAAAAAGGTATGTCTCGAGTATCCTCACCATCTGCACGACGATCAATTCCCTCCGCCATGATGAATAACCTTACTTCTAATAGCGCTGCAAGTAGGGTAGAATAACGTTGGAAATTTGTCTGATCTGGAACTTGCGGTGGCGGACGTCGACAGTCATTTTTATCCTGTTGGCCCGAGCGTCGCGATAAGTCACGTGTTCCTCCAGCGCAAAAAAGCTTAAGCTATCCAATCCGTAAGAACAACCACAGCATCAACATCTTGTCAACGGAAATTTGCGCTTTCTCCCCTCTTGCTCGAGTCGTCATGTATCTTGAAGATCAGCGATTCATCCATGAGGATCTCGAGCGGTTAGAGCAAGGAATTGCTGACCGGGTGATCGAAGAACCTCGAAATGTATGTGGTATCTCCCAGCAATTCGTAGCTATACTTATGCACTAACACTATGTCCAGATACGTGAAAGACTCGCTCGTGATCATCAAGTTGCCGGATTCCTGGACCGTATCGAAGAACAGTCGAAAAAATTGCTCGACATTTACAAAGATGCCGAGGGTTTACGAGCCCAAGAAATTCAATCCATCTCCACAGGCGATGCATTTGAAGAATTCTACAAGCGCCTAGATGAAATCAAAGACTTCCACAAACGATACCCAAACGAGCCTGTTGAAAACTTGGAGCGTGCATATAAACGAAGGCATCCTGGGGAGGGCGAAACTTTTGCTCCCGAAATAGACACTATGTTCACCGGAGAAGAGGCGTTTGGTCAATTTTTTGATTTGACTCAACTCCATGAACAGTACCTTAATATCCCTGGAGTCAAGCGACTTACGTACATCCAATACATCGATCAGTTTGATATCTTCACACCCCCACAACTGCCAATCAAACGGGTAGCAAAGGTATCAGATAAATACTTCAAGTATGTGGGCGATCTGGCAAGCTATCTTGAGGGGTTCATCAAGCGAGTGCGACCTTTAGAGAATCTTGAAAAGTTGTTCGCATCGTTTGATGAGGAGTTTAACAAGTTATGGACCGCACAAGAAGTGCCGGGGTGGGGCAAGGAAGTGGCTGCGAATGAATCTGCCGGGCCAAAAACGGAGGGAACGGGAGAAGGTATTTGGTGTGCAGATTGCGAAAAGGAGTTCAAGAACGAAAACGTCTACAAAGGCCATCTCACAGGGAAAAAGCATATCAAAGCTGCCGAGGCTAGAAAGGCCAGCGGAGCTTCAGCAGAAACTGCCGCCAGTTCGGCCGCCGCCGTCAAAGATTCCTCTATAAAGTCACTCAAGGAACGAGCAGTTGCAGAGCGTGAACATCGAATCCGATCTTTGACGAAATTCCTTAAATCCGAACGGGAAGCAACAAGAGTTAATGTTGAGCGAAAACAAGGTATGACGGAACGCGAAAGACAGATGGAAATCGAGGCTCTTATGGCGGATGCTGAGCCGTCATTTGGTGCCCATGCCCTAGACGAGGAATCCGAGGAAGAAGGAGATGACAAGATATACAATCCGCTCAAGCTGCCGTTGGCTTGGGATGGCAAACCCATCCCTTACTGGCTCTACAAATTACACGGGCTCGGTGTAGAATATCCGTGTGAGATCTGTGGAAACTTCGTCTACATGGGCCGACGTTCCTTTGATAAGCATTTCTCGGAGGCGCGGCACATTTATGGACTGAAATGCCTAGGTATCACTCAACAAACCAACATGTTCCGCGAGATTACCAGAATTGAGGATGCGATGCGACTGTGGGAGAAGATCGAGCAGGATAAAAAGAAGGAGAAGGAAAGCCGTGATAATGTGGTGCAAATGGAGGACGCTGAAGGAAACGTCATGCCTGAAAGAATTTATTATGAGTACGTATCTCCTCGCGTTTGCTTCCTATTGATGCAAACTTACACTGACATCTACGCAGCCTCCAAAAGCAGGGTATTCTATGATTCACCTGCGCTGTTTTCTCTCTTTACGAATCTGCCGTGCTGTAGACAATGAAAGGAGTTTTACGGGGTTTAGGCGCCAGGTTATATATTTATTATAAAAACAGCTGATATTTCATTATTTGATACCTAGGTAGTCAGTATAGCAGAATACAAGAGCTGCTCATTTATCGTTCTTCCTAATGTTTGAAAACAATAGCAGAAGTATAAGTCACGTGGTTTCGTGAACCATGGACGCGTCTTGGGGCTAGCCCTATCGCCGCTCGCGTTCTCCATCGTTGCTTGAAAAAGACTTGGGACACACTCTTCAATTGCCGGAATCCATATCCTTCATCCGACATAGCTGCGGTAGCGCTTCTTTGGATAAGCGAAAATGCTGCCATTCGCCTTACAAACGCGGCCTGTGTTGGACAATCGATTGGGAGGATGGGTTTCAGGTTCTCTTACGTGTGTGACCTGCTGTCCAGCTTAGAGGGCAATCGACTTTCCAAGGCAACAAGCGCAGCAAGAGCTCGGAATCCCGATTTTTGTACAATTTCAAGCTGGTGCTTGAATCATTCGCAACGTATACATGACAAAGGCACCGACTTGCTCGCCCTTTTGTCATGTCTGTTCCCGGACAAGCGGCCCGATAGGGTCTATTGGTTACAACATGCTTCGCTGGCTCGTATTATCGGCAGATGCTTGTACTTGGGGGCTTCTAGGTTGAAAGATCTTAGCCGATGGCAGATCAGTGGAAGCGGTGACCTTGCTGAATGCGTTCAGAATGTAATGAGTCAAGCGGAGAACCAAATAGCCCCGGGCCAAGAAGTCACTGTAGAAGAAATCGATGCTGCGCTTCAGCAAATTGCTTCACGATGTCGATTCTCCGGCTCAAGGGTGCGAAGATCTCACGCTGCTGTTGACGTGGACGAGGTTCTGGGATCCATTTATCGGAGACTAAGCAGTCGAGATGCTAAATGGTTGACTCGCATGATCTTGAAGTCATACGGCCCTGTTGAACTTCCTGTCAACTATATTCTAAAGAGCATCCATTTCCTCTTGCCTCATATGCTACTTTTTCAAGACTCATTTGAGGCGGCAGTTGATCTGTTGAAATCGCCTACCTTTCAGCTCTTTCCTTCTCGACCACAGCCAGACTTTGCCAAATTGTTGGGCAACAAAGCACTTGAAAGCTTTGTACCTCGTCTTGGTGTCAAGGTTGGTCGCCCGGAGTATTACAAGGCTCGGAGCATCAAACATTGCTGCAACATGATAAATCGGCGGAGAGTGAGTCTCGAGAGAAAATACGATGGAGAGTACTGTCAGATACACGTGGACATCACGAAAGGCCATGATTGTTTCCAGATATTTTCTAAGAGTGGCAAAGACTCGACGTATGATAGAATTGGCATTCACGATGCTATAAAGCATAGTCTCGGAATTGGCGAGGCTCACTGCAAAGTCTCTCGTCGTTGCATTCTGGAAGGCGAATTGCTCGTTTGGGATGATAGAAGTGGGAAAGTCCTTGAATTCCACAAGCTTAGGAAATTCGTCACTCGCTCTGGCGTGCTTATTGGCGCAGATCTTGATTCACAGTCAGTTGTTCCAAGGCCTTAGCTGAAGGATGATATATATGCTGACTCACCATAGACCAAAACCTTACGAGCATCTAATGATCGTCTTCTTTGATATACTGTTACTTGACGATGACGTTTGTCTCAGTAAACCCCATAGCACCAGACGGCTTTTGTTGAAAGAGACAGTCAAAGTCTTACCTGGGCGTGCCGACATATCTGAGCAGGAGATTGTGGATTTCTCTCGTCAAGACGGCAGCCGTCTTCTTAGGCTCGCATTCACGAAGAGTATTGCTGAAAGGTGGGAGGGTTTGGTGATTAAAGCCTGCGATGAGCCCTATTTTTCTGTCCTATCGCCAGACAAGGGCGACGGCTACACCCGGTGGATCAAGCTCAAAAAGGATTATATACCTGGCCTTGGGGATACTGCTGATTTTGCATTGATTGGCGCTCGCTACGAGTCAAAGGATGTCCCCTCATTGTCAAAGATCTCGGCTCTCTCTTGGACGCAATTCTTCATAGGCTGTCTCGACAACAAAGATGACGTGGTACGACTGCACGCTTCACCTCGCTTCCGTATTGTTGACATTATTGGGTCCCACAGTTTGAGTGTCAATGACATGCAAGTGCTCAATCAATGGGGCAAATTCGTCGCCTGCGATGTCGACTCAAATACTGCGTACGAGCTACACAGCATCCACAACTCCTTACCGGCTATGGATGTTGTCTTCAAGACCCCCTTCGTAGTAGAGATGCTAGGCAGCGGGTTTGATAAACCTGGAAACGCACAGTACTATGTATTGCGTTTCCCCCGAGTTTTAAAGATACACTGGGATCGCACATATGAAGATGCAATTTCATTTTCTGAGCTGCAAGATCTGGCAGAAAAGGCCCGTTCTGTTCCTGAAGATGAGTTACAAGAAGAGAATGCCATGTGGTATGATAAGGTGGAGGCGACGAATAAGAAGAATGGATACATTGTAGACAGGTCTCAAAGCACTTCATCCACAATCACGTCCTGCACTTCTCCATTGTCCAAATCAGGCAGCTTGATCTCACCGGATTTGACACCGCTCTCTTCAAAAGAGGTTGGGGCCTACGCTCACACCAGACACCTTGATAAAACCCCGCCTACCAACTCGCTACACACTCTCAAACGCAAGATATCCTCAACTCACAGTCAGTCAGAATTGACTCCTACACCGTTCTCAAAGCGTCTCAGGGTATCTGTGCTTACCTCATCTACCAACATGGAGCATTCTATTTCAGATCTCAGATTATATTCCCAGCATCTTCGAGTTCGAGGAAGCCCCATTCCACGGTCATGGACTACAAGCATTGGCAGTTCTCGTTCAAATCCTTCGTCTCGACCTCTCAGCAAGATGGGGAGTCGTGCTACAAGTCCATTGAGGGAGAATCCAAATGTCTTATTGCGTGCGCCACCCAACTACGTACAACCGCTTCCAAGCAACTTCGTCAGGTCTGACTTGGGTCAAGACCACTGCCAAATATCGTCGACAGCTCCAGCTCCAGCCCCTACGACGCGCTACTGTTCGATTGAGGAACCTATAGAGCAGAATGACCTTTCAGCTTCTATTTCTACTAACAATATACTTCCGCCTCCCCGCCCGCTTCCTACACATCCCCTGTCTCCACTTGCTACAATTCCTATGTACTGTGGCGAGTTCGGCTTCGTGGAGAACCTTTTTCGACAGACGCCCCGCGAGTTCACCTTTTCTGCATTACACTTTGTACAGTCATTGGGATTTCCTTACTATCGCGGAATGCTGCGTGCATCAAATCCAGCTGCAGCCGATAGCCAGATAGCCTTGGGTATCGTACTCGTCAATATCAGGGACCCAGCCAATACGCTCACTACGCAGCTTTGCAACGTCGGTAATCAGGTAGTTGCCCAGCTTTGTGAGTTACATAGCATTCTTCCGAGTTCTGGCAAGATTTTCTTTCTCGACAGACGTGTACTCAATGCTGGAGGCTCAGATGGAATTCACAATGAGCTTTTTCTTTTGAACGACTGGTGGGCACAGTATGGTATGCAGTATTACTACGCTACCATATCCTGGAGTCTCGGTAAAGATGTGGATCAATTCCCTCAAAGTGTTGGCGAACCTTTCGGACACGCTGCTCAGTCTGATTCTCGCAAAGCTACAGGTGTTGTTAGCAGATTTCAGCCCAGTGACGTCGAGTCCATCGGGGAATTTGTCTCCATCAGGCCCACCGTTCACATTGATGGTGACCACTTTTATGCCCCTTATACTCTTCCAGAAAATATTTGGCATGAAAACCTGTCTCCTATCCTGCAACCAGGATCTCGAATTGGAACAATAACTAACGTCAACTCTGAATGTTCATCTTCTGCGTTCATTTGATTCTCTGACGTGTATGCCTGCTAGCATGTCTCTAGCTAGGAAGTTCTGGTTTTCTTGTCGAAAGATTCTGGTCAGTACTGAAATTTTGACTTTTGCTTTCATTCCCGGAGTTCTTCGAAGCCTCAATGGATTGGCTTGAAATCTTGTTGAGTGGAATTAGCTGCTAAGCTTATTTCGGTGTGTTGAAAAGTCTTCTAGACCTCGTCTCATTGTATCTAGGACTCCGTTACTGTGTATCAAAGATGATCATTATGATGTACATTCATACATTAAATAGAACTTATTCCTAAGCATCCATCATGAGATCTGCTCTCAATCCCTTCTTAGCCAGCGCCTTTTTGTACTCTGAAGTAGATGGGGGTATTGCCAAATATCATAAAACAACAAAATAGAAAACAAGGTATCTTTTCTTTTTCTCTATTGCCTACTAGCCACCCTCTCTTCTTGCTCTAACATCTCGCATGAGAGCCTTCGCTTCTTCGACTTCAATACCATCTTGACACAGCTCGTTAGCTAGCTGGTCAGCTCTATTGAGATCACCGTTCTTGAGCGCCCAGCGAGAAAGCCAGAGCCGTGCCTTGGATGTTGTTGCAGTGACGCCAGTGCCCCCCACAGCCTCTACCTCGTCATCTCCATTGTGGCGCCGTCGGAGAGGTAACCCAGAGGTTTCTTCATCTGAATTCCTATCATCGACGTCTTCGTCAGATTCTGGTTCAGGTCGTTCCACTTCTCCCGTTTCTTGCTGTAGGGTGAGCTCCATATATGCTGCGGCTTCTTCCTCGTCTCCCAATTTCTCATAAAGCAGTGCAATTTGATGGAGGGTGTCTGGGTCAAGTATTTTGCGTCCTACGGGATGTGCGGCATCCATTTGAGAATCCGGTGATTGTTCGTAATAAGCACCCGCAACTAAAGCACGTTTCATAGCTTTGATACTATGCTGTATGCGATTCATTTTTGCATAGCACGTTCCTACGGCTTGCCACATCTTTGGGTCGTATGGTCTCAAGGCCGCAGCGCGTTGATAGTAAAACAGGGCGTAGAAAGACATGTCGAGGACCTCATAGGCTTGGCCCAGGCCATACCATGCGCGGTAATCTTTGCGATTGCAATCGACTGCGCGGCGGTAGGACTCAATGGCTGCGTGTGTGTTTTTCATCTCAATGTATTCGTGGCCCATGAGAGTCCATGCAGACAAAAAGCTGCGATCTAGTGTCAGAGCTCGACGAAAGTACATAACTGCCTTTTCATGCTCCGATTTAAGCGAATAGTAGTTTCCTACTACGCAGCAGGTTTCGGGTCGGAATTTGTCCGTTGCTGTGGCTAGCTGCGCAACGAATGCGAGTTGCGGTCTTGCTCCCATGACGTAGAGAATGTTAGAGTAGTGGTCAAGGCTATCCAAGCGATGCGGCGATTCTATGAGAATATCTGCAAATATAGCGGATGCTTCTTCAAAGTCTATGAAAATGTTAGTTTACGATTCCGTACAACTACAATAAAGTCATCGAAATACCTCGGGAGTGATAGTAAAGAAGAGCTCTTTGGGTTTTCAGAAAGGAGCTGGTTGGGAAGATTGACTCGAGACCATTAAGTGTCTGATGTGTTTCATCATTGGCCTGGTATAGTTCCTGGCTGCAGTGCACTTGAAAGATGAAGGACATAATGTTCTGTGGAAGCTTTTCCGCAACTTGTTTCAACTATTTTCCGTTAGTCTTGTCATGAAAGAGCAGAGACATGAACAGCAGGTAACTTACATCGTCAACGCTTGGTAGTAAGTCATTCAATTCCTGCCATGCACCCCAATGATACGGAAAAAGATGAACACTTCGTATCAACCATTTCTTTGCGTCTTCTCCGTTCTTGCCTTTCAAGAGAATCACCGCGTACAGATATTCCAGCCATCCTTGGCCGCGATCCTCCAACCCACGATCTCTCCGCTCAGCAAACCAGCCTTCTAACCCTCGAGCCAGGTCTGGCAACTCTCTGTTCACAGTCATACCACCATCCGCAGGCCCGAGTACCATTTCTGTCTCTTCGTCTCTGCGCTTCTCCCCGGCTAAGTATTTCGCATATAGTGCCAGAAATAGAGATTTTTGGCTGAGTTTCGGATACGGATTCCGAGCAGGAGCTTGTCCAGCTTTTGACCCTGGACGTGCGGAAGACTTGTTTTTTCCTTTTTGGGGAGTCAATGATGGCCGGCTCTTGACATTGGGGGACACGGTGGAGAGGGGCACGGGAGGTATCGTCGGAGGGAGAAAGACGGCGGCACATCGATCATATTCTCGGGTATCAAAATAAGACTTCGCAAGAAGATATTTATGAGCTTCTTGTAATTCCAAGGCAGCTTCGATGGGGTCTGGCTGAACGCTAAACGGGTTGACGTTTGGCTGCGGATCGGTTTCCATGGGCGATTCCGAGTCAGTATCGCTTGCGTCGGTCGAAATGAGAGAGTTGAGCATTTCCGCAGCCCTATAAATTGATGTTCTCAGTCTTGGCCCAATTCATGATCGAGGAAGGCAGGCAGGTACCATTTAGCCGACTGATACAGACAGCGCTCTGAACATTTGATCACCGAATCCTCAAGCCCAAATCGAAGCTCTTTGATACGCTCCTCCGTGAAAGTCATCGCCATTTTGTATCAATTCGGGCCAGGCGGCCCGACTTCTCAAGGTCGACAAAGCTCGTGTCGTTGAACAAAGAGTCTTTTATGATAACTGTGTCTATGGATTTTCGGGAGACGCGTTGACTGCGAGTTCCAGGTGAGATCAATGAGCGGAGAAAATAAGGGCAAATATATAGAGAACCGCAATGCTAGAAGCCCAATAATGCATTCGAGTCAACTTTGAAACTAAACGTCTGTCGAGGAAGAAGTATCGATTATGTCGCCCGGATCAGCGCTCTCTCCGTTTATCTGAGACAAACACAGCAAACATCATGGGGGGCACTCAGACTACGCCAAAAGGGGCAATTTTCCTGGCGGCAAAATGAACAGACTAAAAGAGCAGGCGGAAAGCCCTAATTGACCAATTAGATATATGTTCGAGTCACAGGCTGCACTAGCGTGAACATTGCACTGTGATTGGTTGGCCTTCATGATATCTCTAAACACTGAGCAATCATCTCTCTCCAGTTCTCATGTCCACCATGTAATTACTTTGCAGGCGGAGACATGGGCGTTTCTTTTGATAGCCAGCAGGATATCACGTATGTCTACTCCCTTGCTTTGTAATCTGGAGAATTTGCATTTATTGCTCCCGCCCTAGGCGCACTTGGAATTATCAAGACTCCGTATACCCAGGCCAAAGAGGAAAATCAGAGCGACAGAACCCGTTCAGAATCCAGGACTGCTGGTTTGATCTCCCTGACTGCGTTTTTCTAGTTTTCACTCGCTCTCATTGGGCCGACACCAATCAAATATGGCGTCATACGTCCTTGAGATTTGCTTGCAGTGCTCTGACCCTGTCGTGTAAGAAGCCCAGAGGGGTATTCGTTCGCCCCCAAAGTTCTTTATCTCGCAGATTCCCAGGCAAGGCACGGAATAGCATAATTCCATTACCCTCACACACAATGAGATCCCTGTCGAAGGTCGAGTATCCTGTTAGCCGTCGAATGGTCTTCACGCTGCAACCGCGGCTAGCATGGCGCCATCAGATATCCAGATGAGCAAGCTCGTTACCGGTGCATGCAGGAGGAGATGGCCATGCTACATCGAGTCCCATAAAAGCCGGCAGCTCGATCCTCTGGAATGCATTCAGATGTCTTTTTACGCTGGCATCCATCCTGCGGATATATATTCATTTTAGAATATTCTCCCCCATGCCGAGAGAAGCAAAGCACGGTGGGCAGCAGATATGGAGTCATTGTACTTGGCAGATCAAGAAAAGGGCAATGATTTGAAAGTTAGCGCCAATAACGCCTCAACTGAATCCATCCAAGATGGAGACATTCATTATTCAGTTACAGAAGGAAGCAACTCTGGAACCGCGACATATCAGGATGCGAGAGGTGCCCCGGTAGAGGTACAATCCCCACTGGGGTACTCAGTGAATAGTTGGGTAAGCTTATGCCTGAACGTTAACCAAATGGTAGGGACTGGTATATTCTCTACACGTAAGAATGATCTACCCTTCTTCTCAAGTTTGACTTGCCATGTGGTTATTCTAACCGCGACCCCCACGATAGCGGCCTCAATCTTAGCAGGAGTAGGGTCGGTAGGTTTGACAATGATCTACTGGACGATAGGTTATTTGCTATCTCAATCTACGCTATCTGTATACATGGAGCTGGCTTCATATTTCCCTAGTCGCTCAGGGTCCGATGTCGTATATCTCGAGCAAGCCTACCCCAAACCACAATATTTCTTCCCTACAGTCTTTGCGATCAAGCATGTCGTCTTTTCGTTTGGGAGTAGCAATGCTATAGTCTTCGCCGAGTACATGTTTGGACTTGCAGGTGCATCATATACGGACTGGCAGCTAAAGGCAGTGGCAGTGGCCGGATATACGCTGGCATTAATAGGTCTGTGGGATTGATCATAAAGGAGTTTTAAACTATATGAATACTAAAGATCTCCACAAAATAGTTGTTGGCTTGAGCACCAAGTGGTCCTTGCGGATTGTCCTGGCATTTGGGTTTGTCAAACTCGCGACTTTATTGCTGTTAGTGCAATCGTCACCTCGGGCTTTAGTCCTTCAACGAACAATCGCTGACCATAGTGTTCTAATACAGAATATCCATAGCAGGATTAGTGGTGCTCGGAGGGCACACGCGGGTTTCGGATCCGTTTGTCAATTGGAGGCATCCCTGGCTGGGGACATCTGAGGCCTCTGCTTACGGGGCTTCTAATGCTATGGTCAAGATTATCTTTTCGTATGCTGGTTATACCAATTCCTTTGGTCTTGTGAATGAGATGAAGGTTGACAACCCCATATGCAACGACACCCAATGAATTCAACGAATATAAATCCTAACCAGCAAACAGAACCCTACCAAAACACTTCGTTGGAGTGCCCCGGCTTCCTTGCTTATAGTCACAGTCCTTTATATCCTCGTCAACGTTGCTTATTTTTCTGCTGCCTCGAGGCAAGAGGTACTGGATTCGAAGCAGATCGCCGCCGCAATTTTTTTCGAGCGGGTCTTTGGAACCAACGGAGCTTCACGGGCGTTAAATGTGCTTATTTGTATAAGTGCGTTTGGTAACCTGATCGCTGTTATGATTAACATATCAAGAATGCTCCGCGAAACTGGGAGGTCAGATATACTTCGTCGAAGACTTGTTATCTGAAACCTTAAATTGACTTCTGTTTCTACTGCAGGCAGGGCGTTCTTCCTTGGGCGAGGTTCTGGACATCTACGAAGCCTTTTGGGACTCCCCTGGGACCTTACTTTTTCCAATGGGTGATAACACTGATCATGATCCTCGCACCTCCTGCCGGCGACGCATTTAATTTTGGTATGTCTTGGTCAAAACATCCTGGTAAAAGCCAGCTTAGCTACCTGGTATGAGTATTAACCCTATGAACAGTGGTGGATCTCGCTGTGTATCCAGGGAATGTCTTCCTCTTCCTCCTGGTAATTGGCGTCGTGATTATTCGCAAACGTCGAAGCCGCGTCGGTCTGCCGCGACCTGAATATCGAGCATGGTGGATCGCCATTATCTTTGCAACCTTAACCAATCTATATATGCTCATAGCTCCATGGTATCCACCTAACGGGGGTGCTGATGGCGGTGATGTGAGTTTCTGGTACGGAACATACATGGTTGTGGGCATCGCACTGTACGTATTTGCTGTGCTACGACGTGAAATGGCTCGTCTATTTCTCGTCCTTTTTTGATCTATCTTCCATTCACGAACTAATACAAACCATCCAACAGGCTTGTTCTATGCGGCGTGTACTATTATTTCTGGATCAAGTTCCTACCCAAGTACAAAGGCTACGAGCTTCGACAGACGGTAATACAATTCGAGAACAACTCGATCGGTCATAAGCTGGTCAAGGTACCCAAGGACGAAGTGGCCCGCTGGGACAGGGAACATGATGCTGCAGGCAATCTACGGCAGCGTCCATGGATTCCGTGAGCATGTTATGTCTGATCTTACACATCAGGGCTTCTGTGATATACATATAGAGTGCTAGCAGAGTACATCATGGTGACACAGCCGGCCCCTTTGAAGCTCTTGCCACCGTGTACTTAGCCGCACTGATAGGTCTACCACCAAGACTAGCCTTTGAGAGAATATATTCATCTAGCGTGTATTGCAGTTCCTATGGAATAGAGAAGCATTACGCAAACAGTGTTGCTGCGACAAATTTTAACGCCCACAAATGCGCGCCAACGCTAGATTTCCAAGTGATAACCATTTCGATACTTGCATTTAACCACTAAATCACACTCACCTTACTTGATTTAGATAAACAACATTGCTTTGGCGGTGCCGAATCAAGCTGAAATCCACTTACTATAAGTGCCTTGTCGTAAGCGTGACTTAAGGGAAAGATAACCTCAAAGAGAGCAGGCCATCATATGCTTGCTCCTACAGCACTGAGCTACGCCCGACTACGTTCACTGATAGCCAAGTTATACAGTCTATGTTATATAAGCTGGAGTCTGATAATACGCAAAGAATGTGCTTTACGTTACGTAGAGATGCAAGTTTTAAGGCATGTTGGGAGTACTCTACAGAGCCCCAGGCAAAGATACCTAGGCATAATAGAGAATTTTCATCTTATGCCTTCGAGCTCCCGAATTCTCGGGTCAATAACAGGCCACTTATCAAGTACCGATAGTTCATTTATTGGTATTGGTAGGTATAGGTTGCTCGAAATGCTGCACCAGGAACTTTTGAAATCAGTTTGCCGAGGAAAAGTCAGGTCCATCTTTTGCTTTGGTGCTTCCGAGCATGAATGAGTATCAATGGTAGCGAATTGGAGTTGCGACGGACGACGAACTGTAGACATGTCTATGCTTCAATGATAGACAGTTGAAACTATTTTTACTGGTTGATCGGAAAGAAGATTCATTTTCGCATGGATAATGTGTGATCATATATACATACTTTATGGACAACTAATAGTATTTTATTATGATTCCCAGGCATCACTACGTGTCAATCTTCCTTCTTCTTTCTTTATAGCATATCTCTTTGTCGATGGCAACTTGTAGCACCAGAGATTCCTGTTCTTCGGAATACGTGCAAGGGGGATACAAAGAGCAAAAATAAAACAAGTCGGTTGCTGTTGTTGTCCACGGTCTGTGAATTGGTCCCAGGCGTGCGTGTATGTAGGAAGTGAGATGAGAGGAACCCCGTCACTTTTTGAATGCTATCTGGCTGTCGTATAATGTATATTCTTTTTTTGTCTGTATAAATGTGATGAGTAGGCCATTTAGATTATGTTAGATCGTCAGTCGCTTGCTGAGAACATGAGTCTTGTTTCCTTACCAGTAGTCGCTCAAGCTCTTATTCTCTCCCGACGTCGATTACAAGTCTGGATTTTCACTCTGTCCCTGGTTGAAAAGAAGCGGCTATACTGATCTGCCTCGCTCCCCTGACCACGCTATGCTCTCCTCCGGGATACCTAGCTTCAAAGCGTAAATTACGGCCATCAATTATGATCGCAAGCTCGAACTCAACACGGTAATGAAGCCGGCCTTTCTCATCAGGTCCAGGATCCACAGGGTGGAAGTTAGGGTCGTCCTTGAGGAATGTCATGTCAACAAGTATGTGTCCTGCTCTTTCACAGCCTATAAAAGTAACTTGTGAGTGATCGATACTAGTCTCGCTGAGAGCGGTGGCTAACCTCTATTCCGAAAATGCGTATTACGGTAGTGAGACTCGTGGTTTCTGCTTGATATATAGAGAACCTCCTCACAAATGAATTTGATATCTGGCTCTACGGGGAAAGTGTGAAACGCCGGTCTGGTAATCACCGTCCCTGATGGGAGTAGCTCTCCCTGAAAAGGAAACTGGTCAGAAAAACAGAGAAGACCGGGTGTAAGTGCCTAACAAACCTTGTTCACGACCCAGTCGATTGTCTTTTTGATATACTTCCTTCCATCAACAGGGTCGTGCCAGGGATTCGCGTTCGCATGCGCTTCCCACTGTGTCGGCTCATAGGGTTCGGCTCTCAAAATCCCAAAACTAGAGCGAATCCGTCGCTCGGGGCCATCCATTTTGTTTGCCGCGCGAAGTACAGCACCGTGAGCTACGGCTGTGCCACTGTACCAAGGAGAAAATATTATTATCATTAGTAATGTCAAGTTGGACATGGCAGAAGAATAGCACGAAATGATATGTTGATTCGCAGGCGGACCACTTACGGAAAGGGAGCAACTATCACAGGTATTCGTCGTCGTTTCTGAAGCGAATACTCCATTAATTTCTTCTTCAAGTGGCGAACAAGAGAAGGAGATGATGCAAAGCCACCGATCAATATCACTTTCTGTTTTAAATAGTCAGTCAGCAATGTAGTTCTTGTAACTAGCACTGAGAATGAAAGAAGGATCATAGTACTCCAATCACAACTCCTGCATCCTCTGCTTTTTCTAACTGGCTGAACATTAATTTCGATACGCCATCGAGACAGTGTTTGAAGATACGTCGGAAGTCATTTCTGCCAATTATGCTCAGTATAACGCACATATAGAATTGGCCAGCCTTCCACTTACTTCGTAATGATCAGTCGATTTGGTCTCGTATATTTCTCTTGATCCGTCGGCTTCAGACCAGTGACAGGAAGATATTCAGGCTCAAACTCATCCGAGTAGATATCAACTCCTCTTTTGGTTTGTGTTTCGAAGCGATACATGAGCTCATTGATCTTCCCCTGAATTGTAATCCCGTCCTTTTCCAACTCCCGGTGACTAGCTAGACGATGCCAAAGCAGCTTCTCGAATTCTTCATTCAAATAACTTGACCCGCAGAGTGCACCTTGGTGAGTGAATTAGAAGGGTCAAATATCTGTCTACGAGATTGTGGATTACCTTCTGGTTCGAATTCTTCCCTTTCCAACCTCAAGGGGTATTTGGATTTCACTTTGTAAGTAATGGCATCAACCGTACCACCCCCAGCGTCAAGAAGGACGAAGCAATCCCCTGGCTATACTTGAATCAACATGACAGCACTTTTTCTGGGTTTTCATTAATCAATACCATACCGTTATCTCCCCTGATTTGTCCAAAACATACGTTGAAGCTGCCTCTGGCTCCGTAACGATGAACAAGTTGTCGACGTCGTGGTTGCTGTTTTCAATAAATTCAGACTCGCGCAATGCTCTGGTAATAGCATTCTGCATCGTCCGTAATGCTTTTTCTGTCCACATCGCTGGAACACATAGAACAAACTCAACCGAACAGTCATTGTGGTAGTCGTACTGGGATTCCATTTGCGACCTCGTATGGCGCAGTAGATGTTTTAGGAAGTCGGCTATTATGTCTGTCTCATCGCGTATTAATTTCCTTGCGCGCAGATCCCTGACGGTCGTCGATAGTTGGGCCCTAATATGCTTCGTGTGGACGCTATGATCAAGCAGTAGCTTGGACCTGACTATGCATCGAGATTGTTCCCGATGGGTGTCGTTAGCGACCAGAATTTTGGAGACTCCATAGCCCCAGTAATAACGATCAACAATCCCGTCATCTTCTTCGTATCTATCCTCGTCCTCCTCGTCTTGGTCAACATCCATCCAGTCTTGCCCATTGGTGGCGTGAATGTGATCACTATTCTGAGTGTGCGCATCCACCACCGTCTCTTCTTCGTCGCTGATGTTTGTTTCAGTATCAATTGGCTGTCGGAACGGCATGCCTTGTTTTGGATACCAGCTTTGTGTAGGCACCTCCGTGGGGCTTTGGCTAAGATAGCTTGCGGCATGGGGATAATTGGCGATGCTGCTGATTTGGCTTGAGTCTACATCGCTGCTGCCACGGCGACAATACACCGACACACTAGAAAACGTGGTTCCAAAGTCGACTGCGACAATAAAGTGCCTTCTGGTGTTGGATCCCTGACTCGGAACGGCAAACACGTCATCCGAGGCAGCTTGGATGAATGCATGCGAGGAACTTGGGTATCTCTCATTCATCGCGACTACTTCCGTATGCTCTCCATTCACATTTGCAGAGCATACGGAGGGGAGGTGAGGCAAACGCACAAGGAAGCATCGCTGTGGTGGTTGAGCTCGGGGGGGGAGAGGCGGGTCAACTGCGCCGCATTCTGTAAACCCCTGTCACACTAGCGCAAGATGATAACAGGACTGCGACCAGTAAGCAACAGCTGTTGCACGATTCCGTACAAAAAATCCCTCAATCCAGAAGAGGGGCATGCAACTAGAGGTAGTGACGTTGCAACGCTGTGCGTAGTGAATGTGGTGGCTGGAGGGTCGTCTGGTAAGCATCCGGCCTCTTCCCGGTGCAGCAGCACCTCATCACGTTTACTACCGCCCGAGGTGCATGCTTTTGGGTAAACAGCTGCTTTTCTGGTTTTGTTGCATCACTGGCTCCTCAACCATGCCTCGCAAGCATAAAAAGTCGAGAGTGGCATGGAATATCGACGACGAATGCTCAATGCTCGCCTTTCTCGAGTTTCGCATTGGCCAAGGAGAGCTGGACCGTGTGAGAAATGTCGAGGCAATCGCACAGCATCTGTGGCAGGATAGGTCCAGGCGATTAACTAGCTCGCAGGTCGAAGATAAGTTGAAAGAGATACAAAGTCAAACGACGCGGAAGCGCCGAAGAGGGACGATATTTACTGAAGGCCTTAGAGTCTTGTCGGACTATCCGCATGAAGGGCATGTCCGTCGTCTCAAACAGCAGTTAGATGATGAATATGTGATGCATATGCACAGTCAGGACAGAGTAACGAGAAGTACATCGCGTGGCCTTGGTTCTTCGCAACCGCAAGCCAGGAAACGCACTGAGATACCAGAATCTCCCTCTCCAGGCCGGCTGCTCTCCACCAAGAAACCGCGTTTCCATCTATCCCCGAGGCAAAGCCCGCTTGCGAGGAGGAATCAACTCGCAGGTCAGGTATGTCTGAAGACTGTGGTTCTGCCGTCTGGGATGCTTGTTGCTGACGGACTTGAAGAGCTCTCACACTGCGCCAAATCGCACGCTTAGCCCGAAGCATGAAGAAGGTGATAGAGAAACTCCTATCCCTCCAAATCCTACCATACGCGTGATGGTCCCCGACAGTACCGACATGTCCACGGACGACGACCCCCTTTCACCTGTCCCTCAGAGCGACGGTGCATCGCTAAATTTGAATGCAACATCGGCTAGCAATTCCGGCTGGTGTAAAAGACCAAAACAAAGCCTTGACAGTATCTTTTCAGAGTCCAAAATGAAAAGTCTCGAAGAGGAAGTCAAGGACCTAAAAGAGGAACTGACTCGGCTGAGGAAAGACCGTGAGCATCTAGGTTCACAGATGCACACCATTAATTCTTCTCTGGAGACGTCGTTGAGAGAATGCCAGCGCAGGTGCGCACAATACGCTGACGACGTGAAGTGCTTAAACTATGCCCTTTCTGAGAATAACCCAGCAGAAAGAAAACTCCTATACCAACAAGAGAGGCAGATAGAAACGCTGCGGCACTCCCTGAGCGAAAGGAGACAAAACGCCGAGTTTTCCCGATTATCCGCCGACGAGCACCACGTTCCCAAGCCAGACGACATCCAGGAGGCTATCTATGCTATCCATTACGAAACGAAGAAAATACTACTTTCATACGATGATAATCTCACAGTGAGAACGCCCGATCTAGACCATGAAGATAATCTTCGAAGTCTCCTCGGGAAATCTCTGGGAATCAGTTTTTCCTCCCCAATTCACTGTGATACATTGAAGGTAGTACTGGAAAAGAATGGTCTCCAGGCTATTATTTGCGCATTGATTGCTGCGGCTTTGTGTGAGTGGGTTTTTGCAACGGATTTTGAGTCCACAGTAGCAAACTCATCGCTGCTTCTAACCATGTATCGGCAGCACATATCAAGCATAGGTGAGTCTTTGGGGTCCAACACAGGTGACATCCGCGCTGACATAGGGTGGTTACAGACGGCACTAATGCGGTGAGGAATGTTGATATAGCAGCTAACAAGCTGCTATTTGGTAGCGATTATTACCTAAATCATGTCATTCCCGCCAGAGCCAAAGAGTTGGCATCGATGTTGTCTGATGCTCTCGCACCTTTAATCCCCAAAGCTAGAGAGCTTCCTCGTCGATCGACAGAGGGCTTTCATACTTGGGGCGAGGGGGTCAAAGAAAGTGCAAGACGGGAGAAAAGGCTTACAGATATTTTCAAGCGTGCTCTTAGACTGAAGGGGGACCTACTCTCTAGCACTGGGTTGTTTTCCCTTGTGCTGCACTGTCACGGTAAATGTTTCGATAAACGTTCCATGATTGCTGAGACCAAGCATGGAGACAGCGCGGTGATGTCGTCAAAAACCTCCGAATCTATACAGGCCTGTCTTCTCCCGGCTATTTATGTGCAGCAACTCCCACGGCAGGGAGTTGTGGACTATAAGCTTGACATCCTTGGGGAAGACCCTGAAGTGCCAGACTTTTGTCTGATTAGTAAAGCTATTGTTGTCTTAGACTAGAAGCTGAATTCTATGTTCCGAACCTGACATCTGCGGTATGTATATAAGATAATGATCCCATCGCATCGTATTCGTAGATTACTTATCATTCTTGCCCGTCCGGCCTGTTTCCTACATGATAGTCCAATCGATCACTGGGGGCAAATATTTAGTTAACTAGATGCGCTTTTCTGAGTCAGCCTCGTCTGGCGTAACTAGTTAAGTAGGTAGTTATGTAGTTAGCTAACTAGGCTAAACCCGTGTGGCGCATCACTTCTGAAGTCGGAGCCCCTCCTCTACCTTGGGTATACATCTTACCCTCGCAACTCCATTCTCCAAACGCATCATACTCTCTGAGCGCATATCAGCCATGGCTCCGAAAACCAAGAAATCGGTCAAGGACCGTATGTGTGAGAGGCAGAATCTCATCAAGGCATATGACATTGTCTTCGATGGGCCCATAGCACCTCGCCAGTGGCCACGTCAATACGTGCCAATCTTTCAAAAGATTCGAGACATTGAAGATGTCAAATACGAAAGATACGTGAGCTTCCTAACCACTGAGGAGAATGAAACCAACGATCCCCTCGCCCCTATCACCGATCGAGTAGCAAACCTTATTCGCGTTGCATACGACATGAGAAATTCCCTGGCCAATGAGTCAACCTGGAGATTACACACCGAGAGTCAAGTGCTCGGTCGTTTTCTCACCGATCTTCCCTGGTAAAGAAGAGAAGACGCCGTCCTCCTCTAAGAAAGCATTGGATTGACTGGAAAATCAATTAGTGATCATTGCCGCAAGAAACGGTGGGTTTCTAAATTCCGACTCGATCCCTTTTGCCCATTAGCAGCGGAGAAACTACGGGCCAAGAGGGCTAGGACCGTACTTTGCAGCTGTAGACATGTAGACAGAGTGAGGAATCAGGTAAGGCAAGCCATGCAACAGCGATTTCCGGGCCATCTACTGATGCAGAGAACTGCCAGTCAGCAAACACGTTACAGTCGCCTTTTCTTTATCGAAGCGATGAGCCTGTGATTGATGACTCGGTTCCTGAATACGGAACAAAAGAACTAGGAGTTCAGAAGCCCGACAATGTCATCGGACTGCGGCAAACAGCGAAACTTCAAAGCTTGCTGTCGATGAAACCTGACATTCTAGATACGCCTTTTAAGAAGAACTTCAGTCCTTCCTTTCCGTTCCTTTTACTGGAGGCCAAACCCGAACACGGATGTCCAGGCTTTACCTCAGTTGAAGAGCAAAGCGCCTTTCCGCTAAGAACGTTGCTCAATATTCAGAAGAATATCCCAACCCCGGCAGATGTGCAGTTCAATCCTCTAATCTGGTTCATGGCCAACCAAGGCGATGAGTGGAGAATATACGCTTGTGTTCCTGACGGCGCCAAAACAGTAAGTTCCAAATTCACGCCGAGTTTCGCTCGTTCAGTTTGCTTACAGTCACTAGCGAATTATTGATCTTTGGCATGGAAGTGTCCTTCGTGAGGATAGTGCGTTACAACTCCTTTTTCTCGTTGATATGATATGTGACTGGGCGCGCGATATTTATCGAAAAGAAATCATGAGATGTTTTGCGGCTGCTGTATCAGACTCAAGAGGTATTACACCCGCAGACAGCCTCATTTCTTATAATCCATTTTCAGGAGAAGAGACATCTCCAAATCAAAGTGACGGGTATTTCTCGGCTGGTGATAGCGATTCGGCAACTTTCCGGGTCGAGGATGATTCTAATGAGAACCCCATTCGTTCTGTATCGCCTAATGACTCGGCTGTGAACCAGAATGAAGATATCGTAACTCATAGCGACTCGGATTCCCCCACTGAAGTGACTTCTAACCCAAGCACAACAACTGATACTGGTGTTATCTCTTTGGACACGCTGACGGTGTCAGATGTGGAAATGGTGGACTCAGACCACGAGGATGTGAGCGAAGAAACATCAGCCGAGACTTGGACTCAGCACGCCGTAATTAAACATGCAAACAACGTTATATTCTTGTTTCAAACGTTGAGTCTTCCTGAAGCGCATGGCGATTTAATCACATTGTTAACATCGCCATCTACTACCTCAGATGTTGCCCAGGCGGCTGGAAAACTCGTTATGCTTTTCTGTGGACAAACCCAAGTCTTGACGAGGAGAAGTACGATTCGCCGCCTAGGAGCATGGTGGACCGGCGCCAATGATACACAAGAACCATACAATAGCGATCTCGATGATGATTCTGTCATTGCTCATTTTTCTTTTGAGTCTTACTTCCGGCGGCACGATTGGGAGCTAGTACGAAAGCTGACATGCATAATGGCCTCATCGACTGCAATTGAGAACTTAGCATGGATCTGTGGTATTAACCGTCCTGTAATAAACAATTACAGGGGAGAGCTCAGATGCACCAGGAGCAACTTTCTCAAAGTCACTCGTTTTTTGAGAGATCTTTGTGGCGAGAGATCGGCCAAAAGTGGCATATCACACCTTCATCTCTATCTATGCAAAAATTATGCCAGTTTTGAAAGGGGTAGACCGCAGTACGAATGGAAGAAAAGCACACCGCAGATGAGAGACCTTCTTGGTACCCTACAGTATACTGAGCGGTTGATCAGAGTGTCTACTTCTGAGAGATATGGACAAGTGAACATTTCTGTCATGCAAAACATGCCATTGAATCTAGAGTTTGAGTCAAAAACCCAGACGATTGGAGCATTTTTGGCCAAAAAGCCGAGTTCATGGCCTGATACCTGCCCTAAATATTCTCTCGTCGTCTTTGATCAGTCAAATATCCAAGACGGCCACTTAATGGCATCAAAGATTTCCGATGCAATTTTGAACCAATCCTTTTTCCACGAAACTGGGAGCGGTATATCACAAGTGGACGCCAGTGCGTTTACGTTATGGGCGAAGATACTCCGTGGGGAGACACCCTCGGATCACGTTTGGCCTTCCTAAAATTATCATGCTAGGTATTATTCACTGAATTAGCCTGACTGTTGCTTTATAGATAAGATTCGCAAATCCAAGCGGTAGCAAGGCAGTTATCCAGTGTACTTGGCTGTCCCATTGCCCTGGACTATGTAATGCCTATAATTATTTTCAAACAAAAGCTCGTATATTTACGTATTCTTTGTACGGCCTTCTTCCAATCCCATAAGCGGTTTCAAACACAAGAGGAAATCGAGCACCAGTGATCAACCAAGCATGTAAGGCCTCCCAACAGTGCCAATCCATCACCAACCTTGGAAGACATACCAAAGAGTAAGGGTGCCATGAATACGTGTCATTGTTAGCTCCTTGCAGTATTCCAAATAACCCTAAGGCCACTCATTTGCGATGTCTGTGCAGATCAGTTACTAGTTAATCTCAACGCACGTTTATATGCGTTTCCTATGCCTGGTTGTATGTACTTTGAATGTATGCGCTTGGTTGGTTGTAGTATAAAATTAGCGTTGTGGGCCTCCCCCTTGTATTATTTCCATTTGATTGGATGAACGGATCCAGGACTCGGGCTTAGCCCTGATCGGGAATAGTGCGTGGTGTTGCCATTTGACCCCTCCACCGCCGCAGGCCGAAGATTGTTGTCAACTCGAGCTTCAACCTGCAATTGAATTGACTTTGCGATTCGCGCAGTCTCCTTTGTTCTATATAAAGGAAAGGAAAGAAGGAAAATAGAAAGAACTCATCATGGCCACCCGCATCTCGCGTTCCGAGTTCGAGGCTTTTGTTGCCCCCCTTATTGAGGAAATTATCCAATCAACTGAGCAATACAAACTGCCAGAAAATGCCCGACAATGGTTTGAGGCTGTAAGTGAGGCCATGTACGCTCTATTTTGTTTCTTGCTGACGTGACCGGTTTTCCCTGCATAGTCTCTCAAAGCCAACATCGTCGGTGGTAAGATGAATCGAGGGATGTCAGTACCAGATACCGCCAGCATTCTGCTCGGTCGACCTCTAACGGCAGACGAATTGAAACACCTCGCTCTACTTGGATGGTTCACGGAGCTCCTCCAGGCATTTTTCCTAGTCAGCGACGATATCATGGACAGCTCAATCACCCGCCGAGGACAGCCTTGCTGGTACCGACAAGAAGGCGTTGGGTTGATTGCTATTAACGACGCATTTATGCTGGAAAGTGCAATCTATGTCATCCTCAAGAAGTACTTCCGCTCGCACCCTGCCTATGTGGACCTCCTCGAGCTCTTTCACGAGACCACCTACCAGACCGAGCTCGGACAATTGTGCGACTTGATCACCGCCCCCGAAGACAAGGTTGACTTGGATAACTTCTCGATGGAGAAATACACTTTCATTGTCAAGTACAAGACTGCATACTACAGCTTCTATCTCCCCGTCACGCTGGCTTTACATTATCTACAACTTGCCACGCCTAACAACTTGAAGCAGTGCGAGGATATTCTCATCCCTCTTGGTGAATACTTTCAGATCCAGGACGACTACCTCGACGCCTTCGGATTGCCTGAGACTATTGGCAAGATTGGCACAGATATCCAAGACAACAAATGCTCGTGGCTCGTCAACCAGGCCTTGACAATGGTAACGCCGGAGCAACGCCAGCTTCTTAACGAAGCATACGGCCGCAAGGACAGCGCTCTAGAAGCTAAGGTCAAGGCTCTCTACAACGACCTTAAGCTGGAGCAACATTACCTGAACTTTGAGGAAGAGCGTGTCGGCAACCTGCGTCGCCAAATTTCCGCTGTCGATGAATCCGAGGGTCTCAAGAAAGAGATCTTCTCGGCTTTCCTCGATAAGATTTACAAGCGCAGCAAATAAGCTTAACGATGGCTTGCTAAGTGACAATTTCGGGTTGAAATTTGTGTGTTTGTGTGTTTATTTTCCTATACCTCTGCATAAAACAAATTGCCTCGCATCCCTTTCTCCGTTGTTATTTAGCGTGGGCAGTATATAGCCAGAACTGAAGCGGATGTCCATAGAATTTCTAACAAAGAGTCTTGCATCCTGCTGTTCACAGTCTATTATTGGTCTCTAGGTCATTCTTTGGGCGATCTACTTCATATACAATGAAGGCATATTGTCGACACATATATGTATTTATTCAAAGAATACGTATAGTTCATTACATCTCGGCAATTAGATATATATATATAAGCATTTGTCACAATATCAGCATCTAAATCAGTCCGTCAGAACGACAATCTTCCCCTCGGCCAAATTATCGTCCATGCACTGGTGTGCCTCAGCAATCTGGTCGATATGGAACACCTTGCCCACTTTGATTTTAAGCTTGCCAGCCTCCACCTGCTGAATAATATCATCAAAAGGGGTGTCCATGAACTCCTCAATCCAGCCACCGAAAACAGTTAAATGAACGTATCGCGGGATAAACTCCATCGGATTCATATTGTCGAGCGTCCACAGATTGCCCACGATGCCGACCTGACTGACGATTCCACCCTTTGATGCACATTGAAGAGAGTCCTTCAAGCTGACTGTGCCGACTAGTTCGAGGACTTTATTATATTTCTTGTCTTGATCTTTGATCTGCGCTGCAATGGCGCCGTCGTCGACGAAGAAATCATCGGCGCCGTATTCGCGTAGCAATTGTTCTCTATCAGCTCGTCGACTTGTGGTAGCCACATGTGCACCAAGCCCCTTGGCAATCCCCAGCGCAGCGAGGCCGACTGACGTCGTTCCACCTCTTATGAGCAAACGATCCCCCTTTGTCACCTGCAACGACTTTGTTATAGCACCATAAGCGGTGTTAAACATTTCAGGCATGGCCCCAAGAACATCCCATCCAAGCTTTGTTGGTGTCGTGATAGCTTTTACTTGATTTATCGGCACAACAGTGTACTGAGCATATCCGCCATCAAACTGACGGCCCATTCCACCCATGGCGGTCATGACAATCTGCCCCTTTTCGAACTCGCCGCCTGGAGCGTGCTCCACGATACCAGTAGCTTCGATGCCTAAAATTCTGGGGAAATCAACACCAGGAGAATGTCCCTGACGGGTGAACATCTCTGAGCGGTTGAGGCCAAACGCTTTGACGCGAATGAGGACCTGACCAGGTTCGGCCTTGGGGACTGGGCGTTCCTCGACTTTAAGCACTTCCGGACCGCCTTTGGTGCGAATCACGACGGCCTTCATTGTGTCTGTCGCCATTGCGTCTGCTGTCCTGAAATTGGCACAAGCGTGGAATTTGGCTTTGGGGTGAAGGGAAGCACGCAAGTGTTGATATGACAAGATATGGGTAGGAACCGATCGAAGCCGTGATTGGCATAGAATCAATCTTGGACTTGTCGTGGTAATAGTACGGCCAAATGGCATGTTTTATCTGGATGATGTGTGTAATCCTCCATTGCATGCAATGGGAGTATGCGACTTCTTAAATATTGCAATGCCATGGCACATCGTAAGCATCATCAAACCATGCAAGCCAATGTTTGTTCTCGGGAAACGGGCTTATCTCCAGCGCTAGGCCGTATGTGGCAAGTTTGCAGTGTTTATTTTGTTTGAACTTTGATCTGCCATCTCCGGTGTTTGTGCTGTTTGCATCCTGTGGTCTGACTGCTGCTACATCGCGACTTAACTAATCAACTATCTACGTATGGTAACGTATCTAGCTAGGCGACTACGAAAATCGCACTCCTGTGAAGGTGAAGGCATGCGATAGTCACGTCAATGCTCGATACACTGTGTAGCGTAGTAGCACCCCCCTCCCACCCCACACATAGCCTGGGAAGCTCTAAGATCAACCGTGGAGAAGCGTGCGGGGAGCAGAAGGACGTTTAAAGATCGCAATGCTTATTCGCAGTGTAAGATTGACTCGGTCTTGGACAAATAATTGTTTGTTAGCTACATACTCAAGTAGATACTCATAGCATAGCCATTGCTATATGTCATTGCTATAGACATAGTTACCTGGAAACAAGCGACAGACCTAATCATGTGCTATGACGTAGGGCATTAGATCCTAGTGGTAATAATACGTATATTGTTACCATACATCGCGGTCTGTGTTGCGCTGCTAGGTAATGGTAATACCGCGATACGCGTTCCAAGGCATGCCCATACCCCAAGCTAAAGCGGCCCCGGACGAAGACAAGCTGCGCTCCCCGCAGACATCCCCGGGACCACCGCAGGTCAGAGCACCAGCCTCACCCAACTTTGATTCTTCGCCTTTGGAGAGTCACAAGCCCCAAGCAACAGTTGCATTGACTTTTTGTTCTTTCTTCTTCTCTGTTCTGCTTCCCCACCTCTTCCGCTTGTTTCCCCTCCTTCTTCCCAATTGCTCCTACGAGCTCCTGCCACTGCTGCTGGAATCCACGTCCAACCTCCTTTCACTTCTCTTTCCATCCCTCTTCGATTTAGTTACTTGCTCTCTGGCCTGTCTTCAGCCGCTCTTCGGACTTCAAATATCAATGGCTACTAACGGCACGGACACGCCCAGGCGGGACACGAGGAATCATGCTCTTTTCGAAGTGGCAACCGAAGTCGCCAATCGAGGTTTGGCTTTGTCCCTTTGCTATTTTGTGATCATTGCATGGATTGATTGTTTCTGACTTCTTGATCTGTCGTCTACAGTGGGAGGCATCTATTCGGTGTTGAAATCCAAAGCTCCTGTCACCACGGCTGAGTATGGCGAACGTTACACACTCATCGGTCCCTGGAATAGGGCTTCTGTGAGTTTTATACTGGATCAAGGGATTTCAGCATACAGAAACAGAAAAGTGCTGCTATCAGGGCTAACGCTCGTTTGTAGGCAGCTGTCGAAGTCGAAGTCCTGGAACCGACAAATCAGGCTATGGTTGACACAATTGCGTCTATGAAGGAACGTGGTATTGAAATGATCTACGGACGTTGGCTCATTGAGGGAGCTCCTCGAGTGCTGCTTATTGATACTGGAACGGGCTACCGCTACCTGAATGAATGGAAGGGGGATCTCTGGAATATTGCTGGTATCCCTTCGCCTGAAGGAGATCATGAGTCCAACGAAGCAATTGTCTTCGGATACCTGGTAGCATGGTTTCTTGGAGAGGTAAATCCCGATAGAATTCAGTAGCTTTTCAAACCAACTAACAGGCGGACTTTTTTTTAACCTTCCAGTACATTGCGCACGAGTCAAAACGAGCCGTGGTTGCCCATTTTCATGAATGGCTTGCTGGAGTTGCCCTCCCTTTGACCAAAAAACGACATATGGACTTGACAACTATTTTCACTACACATGCGACTCTCTTGGGTCGTTATCTTTGTGCTGGGTCTGTTGACTTCTACAACAACCTTCAATATTTTGATGTTGATGCCGAGGCCGGGAAACGTGGTATCTACCATCGATACTGCATTGAGAGAGCGGCAGCCCACTCTGCTGATGTCTTCACAACTGTATCACACATTACTGCTTTTGAAAGTGAGCACCTGCTGAAGAGGAAACCCGACGGTGTCCTACCTAACGGGTTGAACGTGAAGAAATTCTCTGCCATGCACGAATTCCAGAACCTGCACTCGCAAGCCAAGGAGAAAATCCATGATTTTGTCCGGGGGCACTTTTACGGGCATATGGACTTTGACCTGGAAAATACACTCTACTTCTTCACTGCTGGTCGTTACGAGTATCGTAACAAGGGTGTGGACATGTTCGTTGAATCACTGGCACGGCTTAACCATCGCCTTAAGACAAGCGGCTCAAAGACTACTGTGGTTGCCTTTATCATCATGCCAGCTCAAACTTCGTCACTGACAGTAGAGGCCTTGAAGGGCCAGGCTGTTGTTAAATCTCTGCGAGATACTTTGGAGATGGTTGAGAAAGGCATTGGTCGGCGACTCTTTGAACGATGTCTTTCCTGGAAGGACGGGGACAACATGCCCGATGAAAAGGACCTTATCACTAGCCAAGATCGAGTTCTCTTGCGCCGTCGGCTTTTTGCATTGAAACGCAACACTTTACCTCCAATTGTAACACACAACATGGTCAACGACTCAGAAGACCCGATTCTGAACCAGTTGCGTCGCGTTCAGCTCTTCAATCATCCTTCAGACCGAGTCAAAGTTATCTTCCACCCAGAGTTTCTGAACTCGGCCAATCCCGTCCTGCCGCTCGATTATGACGACTTTGTACGAGGTACGCACATGGGAATTTTCCCTTCGTATTACGAACCATGGGGCTATACTCCGGCGGAATGTACGGTCATGGGTGTTCCCAGCATAACAACAAACTTATCTGGCTTTGGCTGCTACATGGAGGAACTCATCGAGAATTCATCTGACTACGGTATTCATATTGTGGACCGACGGTCCAAGGGAGTTGATGATTCGGTCAACCAGCTCTCTGATTTCATGTTTGAGTTTGCATCCAAGAGTCGGCGCCAACGTATCAATCAACGGAACCGAACCGAACGACTCAGTGACTTGCTTGATTGGAAACGTATGGGACTTGAATATGTCAAGGCGCGGCAATTGGCTTTGAGGAGAGGTACGTTTTTATCTTCTCTGCAGGATAGCGTGATCCTTTTTACTGATATATTACGTACAGCTTACCCTACATCATTTGATGCCGAGGAGGATTTCAGCGACTATATTGGCAGCACGGCCCAAAAGATCTCTCGACCACTCTCGGTCCCAGGATCACCACGTGATCGTACTGGAATGATGACTCCTGGAGACTTTGGTTCGTTGCAGGAAGGCCGAGAGGGGTTAAGTACGGAGGATTACATTGCGTGGAAACTGCCGTAAGTGATTTATTTCCCGACTGTTACGTATTTATCGAGATCGCTGATACGTTTTGCAGTGAGGAGGAAGAGCCAGATGACTTTCCGTACCCCCTGACACTCAGGACCAAGGGGTCGAGCGACCGTCCTCAATCGCCTCTCGATTCGATCTCGTTGAATGGCAATTAGTTCTTTGGACCATTCTTCTTTTTCTCGCTTCCCTGTATCCATTATCATTTAGCCTTTCACATCGTCTCTAGCAGTGCTTTGTCTTCACTTCCGTTCTTAGCGTTCTGTTTCAGAAAGTATGAGGAACTAACCTGATTATATTACCGGCTCACGGTCTTTTGTCTTGGCTCTTTCAACTGCCTTGCGTACCATCGATGTCCGTTGGCAACTCATTTGCATTCTCATGACTATTCCACGTGTACAGCTAGTGTGGTTTCACTTTTCGTTTTTGTGCTGTTGCATCTGTATTACTTTGATCTAGGATGTAGTTATGCATTGTTGATCTAGCAATTAGTTAATATAGTTTGATGAGTTATGTATGGTGCCTGGCAGAATACTAGGTGTATCCGCTAGGTAGCCCTTAGTTAGGGCTCACGACGCCCAAATCGGAAAGCGAACACAACCACGGAGAAGTAAACATGACGCAGTGCAATTATGGTCAATCTCCACCGCTGCTGATAGTACGGGGCTCGATGATTGCATAGCGGAGAGCCCCAATGCTGCCCGTTGGTGGAGCGGCTCCAGTACCTTGCAAACGAAGACGTATGTCCGACGTCATTGACAACGAGCAGGCATATATATAAGGCCTAACCGCCAACCTCACTCTCTGCATCTCACCTTCAATTCATTCCTCAACCAACCTCATACTTTACTTAGCTACAACTCACTCAAATCTTGCTCAATTCCTCGATTCATCCATACACACAAGCGTTCAACCAGTACATCTTCACAAAATGCCTCGCGGAGCCGAATTCGATAACGGAATCCCTCAATCCGACAACGCCATTGAGAACGGCCCTACAAAAGCACATGGCACAAACCCGGTATGTTTATATACATTCACTGTTTCTTGAGCGAGCTCGCTCGTTGTCTCTCTCCCTTTCATACCCGCATGTCTAATTCTTGTCTCTCATCTACAGGGCTCCGATATCAACCGCGCCTACAAAGCCGCAGATCTCCCAGAGACAACAGGCGGAAACAATCTAGCCAGTGGTGGAGGAAGTGCGGGACCAAGGGCAAGCGGTTCAGGGAAAGGGGGCCACGAACCCAAGACGTTGGGCGAGCGAAAGGGGCTGGGGAGTCAGGGTGTTTAAAAGATGATTGATCGATAACCTACCTTCTATTACGATTGTGTATGAATAATTTCGATCGAGTCGGTTCAGGTTGAGTCTGTCGGTGGCCGGCCATCTCTTTAGGCAGAGCATATAAATGGTTTGGGACAGTCATTTACTGGAACTTGCATTCGAGATATGACCATGTGGAGTATATTAAGCAAATGATATACCGATTAACACCCCCGAAGGCGGACTATCTTAACATGGATAAGAGTTGAATATAAGTATGTGCAACGTTCTTTGAGAGAAAAGAATAGAATAAAAGATCACGGACATCAAGCACAAGGAAAATCGAATCAAATATCGCTGTCAATACGATCAACCATACTCCTTGCTGTACGATGCCAATATGATTATGCCGGAAAAAAATGGAGGGGGGGTTATCAGAGCTGTTTTCTGATGGAATATACGGGTATGTTGGTAGGTATATATGTAAGGTGGGCGAAAAGATATTTATTATTCTTGACCCTTATCATCTGGTTTGACCTCTGAGTCGGTTTTCTGAGGTTTTTGGTCCTTCTCCGGGACAGGCGGTGATGACGAGGATGGTGATGGTGATGAAGACACTTCCGGTTGCACCGTGCTAGTGCCTTCTCTCCCAGAGAAGATAGCCTTCGCATTGATAACTTGAATAAGTGTATCACCTAAGTCGCCAGATCCGTCAATCTTGTCCATTTTAGATTTGAAATACTCGGCATCAGACAGCATTCTACTCAGTCATTCAATTAGTATTCATATGGAAATTAGATAAAACAAAGTTAGAAACATACCTCTGTCTTCCAGACTCCGTATTAACAGGCGTCTCCCGAAAAGCTGTCGTCCACTGCTCCCGGTAGCTCTTGAAGACCGGTTCCATGATCATCATGATAGTCGACTCAGGAAGATGTCGCACAAGAACACGGTGCAATGTCGCGGTTTCTTTCGTCAGGGTTTCCATATAACCGCTGACAGCCTTGGAATCCCTTTCTGCGTCCCAATTTATCTTCTTCATTCCTATCACACCAATGGCCGAGCGCCCACTCATAATATCCACCAATTTCTCGTGGATACCATTCTGATGCTCCTGGCACAGCCTTTTCACCTTGTCGAATTCCCCTATGAGTTGACTGGATGATGAATGCCTCCGAACAAGCTCTCGTATGTAAGGAATAAGGGCCACGATAAAACTGAGCGCTTGAGAAGAGAGGGCTAGATGTTTAGTGTTGATGTTCTTGAGCCCAGCGCTTCTAGTAGCACCTGCGCCTAAGATCAATTGCGAGGATCGCGAGTTGAATAGTTTCAAGCATTCAACCAGATTGGAGCCAATGTCTTGGGTCATACTGGGTATATTTGCCATCAGATACTCAAATTCTTCGATACTCTTCAAGATTGTTACCGCGGACTCCGGAAGCACATATCGCTGCTCGTCGAAATTAGCTGTCCGTGCTTTCTCTTTCCCTGAGCCGTTAATAACAGCCCCATTCTGTGTTTTGGGATTTGGCGCTGATGATTCTGCCGACTCTGTAGGTTCCCAGATCTTGGATACTTGCAACCATGAATCGACGTCAGCTGTGCTAGCACGGAGCACCTTATTGAGCACAGCATTCTCTGCATCGCCGAAATCTCTAGCATCCCACTTGTCTGCATCCATAACCTCCACAATATGTTGACGCTGGCCATCGCTAAACCTGACAATGAAATCGCGAATCTGGTTGTCGACAACTGTCTTCACCGACATCCCACTACGGCCCGAGATAGCCTCGCATTCATCAACGAAAAGTCGGTTGAGGCTGAAATATCTTAAAAAGTCCTCGATCGAAAGATACGACGTCTGTTCCGACCGCACTTTGAGCACCTTGACGATTTGCGACTGTACGATATCGACTGCTTGACCCAAAAGGCTTGACATGTCTAGAGCTTGTAGGATCTCCTCCTGCGCCGCTGCAACTTCGGCTGCGCTTCCTTGAGATCGAGAAATGTCGTTCACGTTTTGTGGGTCTGGACTGCGTGACGATGATCGACCCAAAGATGAACTAGACTGTGTTCCAAGACCGCTAGTGATGTCCAAAAGCACCTTTACCTGGACTCCAAGCCTCCTCAGAGATTCACTAACACCTGTGTATATTTGTCTAAGCATGTCATAAGCACTGTCTGCGTCAAGGGCTCGCAAGTTTCGAGCCAAAATCGAAGACTTCTCCTGCGAACTAAGCTGTCGTCCACCGTGCGTGGATGCAGACATCATTGATTCATTGTCGTCGTCAGACGAGCTAGGAAGATGTTTTCGTATAAGTGCTTTCATCTCTCGTAAAACAGCTGTTTTGAAAGATGTTGCCGCAGGCATTGTATGGTGTGACCTGCCTAGCCCTACAAGCTCAGCATGAAGTTTTGACCTAAGTTGCGCATCGAAAGACATATATGCTGGTGATATAGATGGTGCAGATCTATGTCCACCGCGATTTCTTTGGAACGATGCACCCCAACGATGCAGTGTTGCATCTGCAGGAACATTGTTCACATGTCGCCTTAGATCTGCTAGTAGATCGTCCAGGAATCTACTTTCGTACTTCATTCCAATACGTTGTCTCAACACTGCCAGCTCGTCATCGACACCTTGAAGTGCATGGAGACCCCTGAGATTGACGGGTGCCCTTTGCTCAGAATCATTCTGGTTGCGACGTCTAGATGCCTGTTCGCCAGCCAGCAGTCTTCCCACTTCATCCAAACCATCAATGGCTTCTTCAACATCCCCTTGTTCTATTATGTTCTCGCATTCTGTCACAGCTTCGACTACTTCGTGGAGCTGGCTCATAGCATCGGCCAGTTTCCGAATGTTCTGCCTTCGTTGACGCAATTTGACCACCTTCAATCCTCCCATTGCCATCTCCTTATCGATTTTATGGAGATCCTTTCGGAGAATCTGGATTCTTTTGACAGAATCTGCTGCTTCTGCATGAAGTTCACGCAACGACCCTAACGCGGTGAAGAATGATTTGGATGCAGTGGAGATCGACGATATTAGATGGATTTCAACTGTATCCATATACCATGAAAGTTTCTCTTGCAAAATCGCGTTTGTTGCTAGAGCTTTCCTTCCAGTAGTGGGCGGTTCAATCGTTGAACCATTCGTAGCCTTCTCAAGCCCGGGGGGTTTAGCCGGTTGTCGCACCACTTCTGACTTTTCGGAGACAACGTCAAAGGTACGCGGATTCTCAAGATGGAATTCCTCCTCAAAATAAACGTTGGGTATTGTAGACAAGGGTGTCACTGCTTGCGAGCCTTTGCCGTACGACGGACGTCTCCTACCTCGCATGTCGAACGGGGAGTGGGCACGTGAACCTACAGACACCCCAGACAAACGTCGTTCAAGAACAGGTGTCCGTCGGCCATCGAGTTCATCCGGTCTTGAGGAGAGCGCGGCGGGAGACAAAGTCTTGTTGCTCCTGACCAACTGAGAGTCGTTCTCATCGCTTCCTTCCCTCGCTCGTTGAAAAGCATCATACAAAGAACCGACTTGGTCAAGATAAGGCTGAAACGCCTTGGACTCAACGTTTGGTACATTTGTGAGCGTGACTGGTGGGATGTCTCGTGCGGTGGGGGGCTTATAGCCCGTTGCAGGTATTGAGGTATGAGCGACGAGTCCGGTACGAACGATTGGAGGTTGCAAAAGAGTTGAGATAGCTATTGAAAAGGATAAGTAACTGGCGCTAAGGAATAATGGTGAAGAGATGAAATCGTATTGGTAGCACATAAACTCACCATTTTGACCTAGCTCTGCGATCGAAGAGCGATGGGAAGCGTCCAAGATTCCACCAATGCTGGCAAGAGAACTCGCGGTAGACGACCGCCGCTGCGGTAATCGCTGTAATGGCGCGATACGAGGGGACTCATATTGGGTTTGAGGATATTGCTGCAGCGAAGGTGAAGACCCAATAGAAGCCAGGCTGTCAATCGACGACTTCCGCGGGCTCGAAGAGGTCATCTCGTTCGAGGGGGAAGGCCGTAGCCTAGATGCAGGTCATCGACCGATCAGTCGCTCTAAAGACTTTCCGCGCAGCGCATCGACGACATCAAAGGCTTTCGTTTGGTGCTGGCGAAGTCAATGACTTGGCCATAGGTGTAAATCGAGTGTTGGCGAGGCCAAGCTATGGGCGACGTTGACGGTAGGCCCGATATCAAATCACATTATTCCTGATTAGGGAAAGCGGCGTCTTCCGTTGTTGTCGACCTTAGTTTGCGCAGAAGTTATAACAAATGCAATCGAAACAAGATGCACTGTTTACTCGAATGTTTGGAAGTTTAAGCTGCCACAATGGGTATTACTAGATACATGATTTCTCTACCAACATTAATGAAAACCGAAGAATAAATGATGAACCCGAACACCTCTTCACGACCATACGTATACACATACATACCATGCAAGACCAGATTCCTCAATAGCAACGTTAAAAGCATCATCAAAGCTACATTATGACCTCAGACACCGTTCCTATAGACCTGAGATCCACCAGAGCGGATTCGTATAGTGTCCCTTCGCTGCAGAACCAGTAACGCTCGGTTAAGAGCTTGTTCACTATAACCACGCCCGTCAACGAATTCACGGCGCAAAGTGGCCAAGCTCGTGGACCAGCCAATGGGCAGACGGCGTTTGACTTCATCTTCAACCTTGGATACCTCTTCCATGAGTTCTTTACTACCCTGGTTTTCTCCTTGAGTAACGGCATCCATCGTTGAAGCGAGGAACAATCGGATAGCCTCGTCAACATGAGCCGTCGTCGCGACAGGCGACAATGTGAGCTTGGCGAGAGACTCTGTAATTCTAATGATAGCTTCTAATTGACGAACCGTAATTGGAATGGATGACCGAGCATTCGCGTCAAGTTCGGCGCGATGAACCTGTTTGCGAATTGAAACGAAATGGGACGAAAGCTTGTCTGCTGCTTCCTCCGACAGCTGAGGAGCGCATCGTCTAAATGAAAATGTGGTTAGCTTTAGAATGATGTAGGAAAGTGTTAAGCGACTCACGTCTTGCAATAGCTAATGTATCTTTTCATCTTCTCCACCGGGATTTCTGCCTCAGTATGTTCTTCTGTACCCTTGCCTCCCATGTGAATACCCATCACATGGCGGGCAATTCGTTCGTCTCGGCCGCGGTCATGGTCGTCGCGGACGATAAAAATCATATCGAAACGTGATAAGATAGTAGTTTGGAAATCGATATTTTCTCCGGGAGTCTTCAGATCATCGTAACGTCCGAAGATCGGATTCGCGGCTGCTAGGACAGAGGTCCTAGAGTTGAGAATAGTTGTGATACCAGCTTTGGCAATGGAAATAGTTTGTTGCTCCATAGCTTCGTGAATGGCAACGCGGTCTTCGTCTCTCATCTTATCGAACTCATCAATACATACAACACCACCATCGGCTAAAACCATCGCACCACCTTCCAAGTAGAACTCGCGTGTAGTAGAGTCGCGTTGAACAGAGGCAGTAAGACCGGCAGCTGAAGAACCCTTTCCGGAAGTATAAATGGCAATAGGTGAGGCTTTTTCGACGAATTTGAGTAGCTGAGACTTTGCAGTACCGGGGTCACCAAGCAATAGTACGTTGATATCTCCACGAAGCTTAATTCCGTCTGGCAAAATTTTCTTTGAACCACCCATCAGTAGGCAAGCAATGGCCTTTTTAATGTCCATATTGCCGTAGATCGAGGGAGCAATACTTCGTGCAAATGCTTCATATAAATCGGGACGACGGCTCATTTCTAGGAATTCTTGCTCCTCTTCTTCGGTAAAGGTCGCAGCTCCCTTGGAAGTATGGTCGACATCGCTACTGATTCCCACAGCGCGTAAGTAAGGGTTTCGAATGGCCACTGCGGCAGCCTTCGCACCACCCTTGGATTGGTATATAGAAAAGATGCCCATGACCGTGCAGCGCGATCCGGGAACAACTCGGTTTGCCAAATACCGGTCCGCAGATATGAGCACGTGGCGGGGCAATTCACCAACAGGCACTTGGTCCGGAGCTTCTTGGAGCTTAAGGACTTGCTGATCGACAAAATGGCAATTCTCATGGACAATGACATATGGATCCAGGGGACAGGGTTCGCTTGGCTGTTCTTCCGGCTGGCGCTTACGACCACATCTCCTAGGCAGAGTCAGACCGGAAAATCCACTGTCCACCGTTATATTATCATTATGTTCACAGCTCCTGCACCGGATACTGATGACTGTGGCTTTTGAGGAAATGGTTGAAGCACCAATCACAATGCCAGGAATTCGAACCAGGTGAGAGATATTTGTGGCGTTTAGGTCACGAATAGAGATATGGGAGGCGCTTGAATGGAGGAGTAGTTGATGAGGTGGGAGTTTGACGTCCCTTTGGGATGGATAGACAATGTGCTGGGTGCATTGTTTCAGTGCTGCTTCGAACTATACAACAGCGTTCATTAAATCGTATTCTCTCTAGATTGCAATTGTGTGCCAAACCCACCAAAGGAATGATATCGGCTGGTTCAGTTGTGAGCTTATGAGCAAGTTCTTCGTTATATGAGATCAAGTGTGCAATATCGACGTCGCAATAGTACTGTTTGATGAGGACATTCTGTCGCAATTGATCTCTGTGATAAATCCCTGGTAAGCGTGCAAATTCGCTAGTATGCGTGCGATCATCTCTCGGTCTCACCTGTAAATGAACGAGTTGTCAAGCTGGAACGCGAGAACAAATTCTCGAAGGCGAGCTTGGATAGCTACGCGTGATTCATCAGCGCCATCCTGGCTGGGAGCAAGGACGCTCAGGGCATAAGGGGTGCGTGTATCCATATCTGCGTTGGGATTATAATATGTAAACTAGACAGACGGGATGCGGTTTCGACAAGAAGTCGAATTTTGTGTTACGTCGTCCCTTGCAAAGTAAAAGCGGGAAGACGCGAAACGCGACGCGTGTTTCAGCACGCGTTAAGTGGTTTTGTGTCACGTGACTGTTCTAGCCCGAAATTGTCCATCCATCAGTCAATTCAATCCATGATTGATTGACTATGCATGCTTAACAACGTATATTTTCCTAGGACGCTAGGTGTTCTTTAACTTAGGATACTTGAACAATATGAATGTGCTTGTCCCTAGACTTATGATCTGGTACCTACACATGAACTAAGATTGTCAACAATTATTTAGGAATACTTGACGGCCAATATAAATGCATCTGCAGCTGTTCTCGCATCCAATGATGGTAGAACACGCGTTTGTCCGTGCAACATCCATGATGGCTGTCAGAACCCAATCATCCTCTCCCATCAATGGACGATTTCGCGCGACTGTAAATGATCTCTTTCCCGAATGTGGTATTCAAGTGTGAAATTGTACTGTCTGAACTGTTGCTAAAATGGAGGGCCGTTTTGGCATGTGAGTAGCTACTTGTGTTGCTGTGTTCCCGTTGCCGCTGACTGTTTTACAGGTATATCTCTTCGCCAATATTCACGTTTCAAGTCGGCCAGGAGAGAAAAGAGGTCATAGTCCATTCCGGACCTTTGGCCGGTCTCTCTCCGGCCCTCGATACACTTATGAATGGCCAGATGCTTGAAGCAAAACTTCGACGAGTAGACTGGTCAGACGTGAAGATGGATACATTCGCTCAGTTATGTGAATTCGCATACTCACAGGACTATACACCACCGACATATCAGCAGAGTTCCCATTTCAGCACCACATCCCCAAGTAGCAAAAAGGGCAAAAAGAAGACGAAGAAATCTGACATACCCCGATACGGATTTACCGGTGACGAGCCTGTTCCTGAACCAGAAACAGAACGTGGACCACCATCCGAGCCGGGATTCGGAGTTGAGACTAATCATGCGTTTGAATTGCCTCTAAAGCAACGGACGATCTCCGAGAGAGATCTTCGAAACGTATTTCTGGACCTAGAATATCCGCCATTCAAGTCCACTTATCAATTTAAGCCAGAGGGCAACGAGAGTCCGACACAGGACTTTACTCACGTTCTTGTGGGACATGCTGAACTCTATGTGTTAGCTGATAAGTATGGAATCGAGTCACTTCGCCAGTTGATTCTCCATAAGCTCCATCAATCTTGAAAAGTTTCACGGTCTACGAGACAAATGTTGTTTGCATTACCGAATTCCTCAGGTTCGTGTATCAGAACACCCCTCCACTCAAGGGCGAAATAGACCCATTGAGAAACCTCGCGTCTCGTTACGTGGCCTCCATTCTAGGTCAGATTGGCGACATTGAGACTTTCAAGCAATTACTGGCGGAAGGAGGGGACTTTGTGATTGACTTTTGGAATCTCATCTGGGCAGTGGACATACCATCTAGATCAGTACTTTGGGGATCTGGATAAACGATATATATCCTAGTGTTATCCAAGCATTGGGTATATTCTTTTATTGTATACACCGCGTACGAAATATTCACTAGGATTTATTTTTCCAAGCCTGCAATACGGGTCAAACAAGGATATATACAGTAGTACATGAAGCTCGATATTTCATGTTACTAGCACTTACTAGGAAGATGACGAATTCTAGAGAAAGGTTGGTAATTGTGAATGTTACCTAGATAGTTGACGTAATTTTGTATGGAGCACCTCGTCGAGTAAAATAAATATGTTTTAAGGCCCGGCCCGCAGTGGGGCGATAGGGCAATCGATGTCAATAGAATTTGCCTTGAGTTAAACCCAGCACTCTTCTTCCATAACAACTGTAACATGAGGTAGCTGATCTCGGTATGGACGCTCTTCCCCTCTCAGAAATGGGATCCGGTATGTAAAAGCTTAGGAGAGCCTTCTTAGACATCTCGCCGACAATGACTTTCCCTTTTTCGAATGAAAGGCAATCCAAAAGAGTTCCAAGAACCACGGCATGCTGGACAAGGCTCATTTGTCCCTTCAACCTTTCCATGAATATTACGTCGCATTTGATCAAACAGCTCCTTCAAAAATGCCCTCTCAGCATCTTCAGATTCATCAGGCACCCAATAATTCCCCAACCGTGTACTCGCCAGCATATGTGTGAATCCTGCCAAAGCAAACTCCAAATGGGAGTGGAGTAAATAGGGTTTCCAGTCAATCAAGCCAGTGATGTTGCAGTCCTCATCTATTAAGACGTTCACTTCGTTCAGGTCATGGTGGGAAACCCAAAGTGGGAGACATTTTATTTGTTCTAGGTTTTCAAGGAATGTTTGGAGCTGGCGCCGGTATGGATGAATCCAGGTGACGCTATCAGGTCTTCAAGATGGAATCGAACACGGCCATCGACAGTCTTGTGACTCCTGTCGGCAAGAAACCCTTTCGACAAAATACGACCAAGTGATCTATCGATAGAGATGCGGGTCTGGGCGCCCTTGCCAGCAATTCCCTGAAACCACATGTTTCCAGGTAGGAGGTTGAAAGAAAAAGCCCAAACACCTTGGGGAGAGGAGCTCCTCATCTTCTAATGCTGTGATGTCTGGCACAACTGAACCTAAGGCTTTCTTTGCAATCTTGAAAGCATCTAGATCGAGTGGCTCAGTACGGAACTGTTGTACTATATCACTTTTATCCCTCACGGTCAAAAAGAGTCTCCGACTAAACATCCCCTGCATCGGAGGCCTGTCGACGCGGTCCACAACGCGACCCAAATGCTCAAGCACCAGCTTCTTTCACCCATTTGACTTGCTTTGTTGGGGTGTCAAGGAGTTTGGGAAGGTCTTTGTCAGATGTTATCTCCGGCAATTTGGACGATAGGAAAGGGCAAACAGGGAGGGAATTAAGTTGTCGATGGATCAAATGTTAGATTTGGGTGCGGCCCGCCAGAGCAAGTATACATACATATAGGGTGGCGAGCACACTGTGTTTCATAGAATTGTAGGTTTGTCCAATGAGAGAAAGTTTCGTACGCATGGACTGAGGATGGGAAGTCGCTGTCACGAAGGGGGTTTCTAAGAATGGTGAGTGAGCGGTAAGAGCATTATTTACGTGTCTTTGTTCTGGTAGTTTGACACGAGATTATAAGATCCGGTGATCCTGTCTTTTTCTTTGAAAAGCACATCCTATACAGGCTCATTTTAAGCGTCTGGAAGACTAGGGAGATCAAATTATTATGGACAAGAGAGTTCAAACAATCGATTGTTCGAGTTCACGGCACGGATGGCTCGACGGTTGATGGGAGCGTTGTGGTCGAGGTAGATAGCATTCACAGCAGTGTTGGACACTCAATGTTGCATCATATTAGCAACGAGTACCGGTTGAATAGCTTGATCAAGCACGAGAAATCTAGTATACTTTTTTTTTCCGCGTGTTGATACTATATTCGACATTGACTGCTGATATTGGTTACTTAACTGTGTTGTTTGTTAGTTACATAATTCATACAGGGTGGGTCTCTGATGTCGGCGGGGTCACTCTCTCAACCTCCGCAGATTCTCACGAGAATCAATAATTAATAGGAAATACAATCAATAAAATGACTCCCCTCATACGGATTATCGGCTCGCTCAATGCCGACATGGTGTCGGTCACGCGCCGGTTCCCTGAGCCCGGCGAGACCATCACAGCGACCTCGTTCACGACGAGCGCCGGCGGGAAAGGCGCCAACCAGGCCGTGGCATGCGGTCGCTTGTCACGCTGGAAATCCTCAGCAACACATTCCGCGAGCTCGAACGAGCCAATCCGCGTCGAGATGGTGGGCGCCGTCGGTGGCCGCGACGCTCATTTCCAATCGCTGCTTCGTCCCACGCTCGAGCAGTCTGGCCTAGATACGGCGCGCATTAGGACCGTGGACGAGGACTATACGGGCGTGGCGGTGATCATTGTCGACTCGTCGGCCGGTGGCGAGAATCGCATTCTTTTCTCGCCCGGCGCCAACTACTCGGGCATGCAGGCGATCCCCGACGTTCTCAGCACGGGTCTGGCGCCACCGATCCCGGACGTCATTGTAATGCAGGGAGAGATTCCGATTGAAACAGTCATTGGCATTCTACGGGAAATAGCAAAGTACAAAGACGCGAGTGGCAAGAAGGGGATCGAGGCTGGGCCGGAAGTCATGTTCAACCCTGCGCCAGCGCCGCCGGGTGGCTTGCCGGAGGACGTGTATGCGGCAGTGGACCATTTGATCATGAACGAGACGGAGGCTGAACTGATGGCGCCCAAGACCGAGGAACTGCTACGGGTTGTGCCCGCAGTCAAGGGCGCGGGGCTGCGAGAACAGGTGGCGCAATATTTCCACAAGCTGGGGGTGACATACGTGGTCATCACGCTGGGAGCGAAGGGGGTTTGGTACAGCGCCTGCGATGCCGGCACGGCGATTGCGGCCGACGGTGAATCGCGCTTTACGAACGAGATCCCCGCGGCGAAGGTGTCGCAGGTTCTCGACACTACCGCAGCGGGGGACACCTTCATTGGCGGCTACGCAACGCATATAGCACGCTGGCGAGAGCGACAACGGCAGTCCGGCCATGAGGCCTCGAAGCGCGAGCGGTATCAAGTTGTCATGGACGAGGCGATGAAACGAGCCGGACGGGCTTCTGCGCGGTGTGTGGAAAGACAGGGCGCCATGGACAGCATCCCGTGGGAGGATGAGATCTAGCTACGACGTAGTTACATATTATTTATAGATGGTATGGTGGTTGTTGGCCAGCTGGACTGATTGGATATGCGTGCTCGATATCGACCTGATCGTTTCGCGCGTTGTGCATTAATTCCAAACATGCAGGATCCTCAGCTCACAACCAGTTCACGAGAAACGAGTGGCTGCTGAACATGCACGCCATCACTCGCGGAGCAAGGGCGATGTATTTTATATTCTATTACGTGCTAGCGCGATGTATCTCCAGGTTCCCTGCCCGCGGAACCGCTGCGGGAGGTACTTGGGGATACCTGCACAGGATGGACGCCTTACGCGTCAGGCGCGTCGAGGCACGTTACGTATTAGGAACGTATTATACTAGAGACTATATAGTAACTATAGAACTCAACGTATGCTGTGCGAGTGAAGAATTGAAGTTTAAAATTAAATAAATCATAACTGACTATGGAATACATCGTATATCACAACAATAAAGAATTCTTCATCGATCTATAACAAATTATTTGCACGGAATGCCCCGAGATCCCTTTGTCTTTCTTCAGTATTGTATGCATTGTCTGTAATGTACTTGTTCCGGCCTGAGGCTACCGCCAATCGCGCCTTGCGTCCCGTGCCTCAACGCCGCCAAACAACGCGAGAAATCTCCTGTGCATTAGCATTGCATTGCAGCGCATCAACCCCCCCGTGCTATGAGTATGCAGTAATACCTTGCGATTACTGTACAGCGATACATACCGTTCCTTGGCGGCGTTCCTCCTTCACAAGTTCATATACGCGGTTTCCCCCCCCTACCTTCGCCCAGCCAGTTCTGTCCCTCTCCGCCAGTCCTCAACTTCACCTCCATATCACCGGGCACTCTGCAAACAAAGGATCGCTTGTCCTCCACACTCTTTTGACATCCCTAGGCTGCTTCTGTCTTGCCGACTCTCTTCTCACCGGTACGAGTGTGTACAAAGGGAAACGCCCGCCCTGAAGACCGACTGAAGACCGCCGCCCAAAGAGAGACCATCAGAGTAGAGCTCTGTTCGCGACCCTATTGGATTGCAGCTTTCTCTCTCGATTCTACTATTCCTCGTTTCTGAAATTGTGCTGGGAATTCCCGTCGACTTCTCGTCACCGTAGCTTTCTGGGCTCGCACCATTTAACCAAGCCCAGTGCCCAGTCTTGACTCTCTCTCTCTCTCTCTCTCTCTCTCTCTCTCCATCTCTTCTTCGATCGTATTCTCGATAAACCCAGCAGATCGCTCTTAGAAAATCCCTAGTTTTCAGCCTATTCACTGATATCATTCTTCAAAATGTCTGCTGCCTTCGCCATGGCTCCCCAGCTCCATCGTCAGGCCCTGGCTCCCGTTTCTGTACGCAGAATTCGTGTTCGTGCTCTGCAGCAGACCAAGCTGGGTGTTCTGAACAAGTTGAATGCAACCGTGCCTTCTACCCCGCTGAAGCGCTCCGTATCTTATGACTCTGATGGCGAAAACGTTGCCCCCATCAAACTCGATGCCTCCAAGCGCAAGCGTGATATAGAAGACGATGGGCAGGTCTCCGAGTCCCCCAAGGCTCTGAAGACCAGTCGTATCTCGCTGGTTACTGTCGAAAAGACAACTCCCTTGACCCCTCGCAAAGTCAATGCCGTCATGGCCAAGCCAGCCGGTCGTTCACCCCCGGCCAAAACAAAACTAACCAAGGCCTTTGGTCGTCGCTCTCAGCGTGATTCTCTCGCAAGCAACACCAATGTTGCCTGCGTGAAGAGCAAGCCGGCAACGCTCTCTTCGCGTAAAGTGGCTCAGCCTGCGAGCTGGTTTTTCAACATCCATGCCGACACTCCAGACGAGGAGGCTACCAACACCATGCAGCACTTTGCCGGCAGACTAGACATCAGCGATGACGAATGCAAGGCAAAGTACGACGATCGTGGAAAGGAGAATATCCCTCCACATGAGCTTGGCATAACCATGCCAACAGCCGCTCAGCCAACGCCTGTCCATTCTCGGAGGAACATGATGGCCCAGCTTCGGTCTCCCCTTGGCGAGCTCAGGGCTTCCGATTACTATGACGCTGGTCTGAATGCTCTTTCCTATGCTGTCATTCACGACAATGAGAACCTGAAGACGTCGACTGAAATGATGAACGCTTCTGTCGTGCCCGAATCTACTGCTCTTCCCAAAACTATCTCATTGACTACATGCGTCTCGGAAGAAAGTACCAAGACAGTCGACGGAACGACCGCCGCCTAGATTTTCCCTACTGATCTTTCTTATGGCTTTCATTGGAGTTTATTTTTTCTGGTCTATCTTGTCGTCTTCTTTTAGCAATGGCGCTACGGACGGCGGTGTATTCTGATGGTTTCAATACCCTGCGCGAACACATTTTTCCTCGATTTTTTTACTCTGACGCCCCCACTGTCGAACTATCTCTGTCTTTCTATCGTCTCGTTATAGTGACTCAGTTGGGCGACGGCCGGTCTCGAGGTTACCTTTCCTCAGCCACGGTATCCCAACTCTCACATCCAACAACGTATCCATCGGCAACATCCGCTTACTTGCGTTTTGACTGTCTCTCCATTCTATCCTGGAGCAGAGTGTCCGCAACTTGCGTTTGGCGATCCCGATGATGATATCTCTACCTCAGAAGATCTCTGTCATACCGTCTAGCATCAGTCTTGTTTACTCGAGGTGAAGTATGCTAGCGGTTCTATAGTTTCTTCCTGCCCTTCTTTGTCTGCATGGATATGGTTCACAGTACATTCTCGAAATGGGTGTCTTCTCTAAACTTTCCTTGGGTCGGTTAGAGTGCGTTATTTGCAAGCGTCCGTCATTCCATTATGTATGCACTTGCTTTTTTTTGGGGCGATTCGCTTGGTTGCTGTCGGGTTTTCTCATCTCTCTCTCTCTCTATTTCTTCAATTTGGTTGATTTTTTGCGTCTCATTTCTGGAATGCGTTTATGTTTACACGGAAAAGAATTGATAATGAGGCACGGTGCGGTACGGTACGATATGAATTTGGGAAACACGACGTGGTATGAAATTGTGATGTACGACCTCTTGTGCTTATCTTTTTGCATGCAATGTATCTAGTTAGTATGTCTTTATCTCGACAATAAAGGCCATTAATTATTTTATCTGACTTGACGGGTGCTTTCGTATTGTGCTAATTTATTTGTACTAAAGGTTTTTATACACCATCATGACCTTCATTGCCAACATTGTCATCATCAAGCTCATTCTCGTCTTCTTCATTAGCCTCCTCTTCATCCTCAATCACCCGTCTAGTAGCCTCTCTCTCCTCCTCCTCTTCCACTTCCGGTTGCTGCTGTCGCTGCTGCTGGCTACTACTACTACTACTAGTAGCTGCCTTTGCGCTCACGGCCCATCTCCAATTCGCAGCTCCCTTGATCGTAGCCCGGACCTCAGTCGCAAGCATACTCTCCCTCGGCGTCGCCGTCTCAGCATCCACATGAAACGCCTCCAAGCTCTTCTCATCAGACGCATGATCCGGAAACCCCAAGATACACTCATACTCTGCATCGGCGGGTTCGCGGTGCTGCTGAGTCAATGCATGGATTTTCTGGCGCATGATGGTTTTCACTTTGGCTAGTGTGCCGTTTCCGTACCATCCGTCGCAGATGGGATCGCATTCTTTGCGGAGGAAGTCCTTGTTTGGTTGAGCGGGGAACAGGAGGTTTTTCACAATGGGGTCGACAATGTCGCAGACCATCCAGATCTTGCCGTCGACTGCGAGCGGTGCTTTGCCTGTCCATATATGGCCGGTACGTCCTCCTTCGCGAGTGACGGTGGGGATTGAAGAGATGTCACGACCGCTAAATTCACGCCCGCTGCTGGTGGCGACGTTGAGATTACTGATGTTGCTATTATTTATTCGCTGTCTTGCACTCCCGCCTCCATCGCGAGCAACATCCGGTTCGCGCGGAAGAATGCGAAAGACAAATGTCTGGTATTTGCGGAATTCCACGTCTTTACGAGGATCGTGTCCGAATTTGAAAATTGCGTCTCGCCATGGTCCAGACCGGAATATGTATCCGACATAGCCGATGGCATGTTTAAGAATGTAGCGATCGCTGCTTCGCACTTCGCTCATGAGCGCGCGACGAGTCCATGCTATTCGTTCGGAGAAGAGTCTCTGGAGGGTGGCGATTATCTTCTGGAGGTCAGGGTCTAGGGTGGATATAGGCGGGCATTCGTCGCGTGGTTTAGAAGGCACTTCGGCCACATCGTAGGTTACCAGATGTGTAAGCACCTTAGTTGCTGTTTGGGTATTGAAAGCTGTGATATTTCCCGATGTGTCTTGAGACAGTTTGACTGTCGGGTTCTGGCGGTAGGTATATTGAAATGGTATATATGTTTTGCTGAAGGCTGGTGGAGGGACCAGATCGACATTTTTGGTCTCTCCTTTGCTCATGGATATGTCGAATTGTCGCATCTTTTCAACTATATTTCAGTCAGCTCAGCAAGTTCCGTGCTTCTGAGGAAAGGTACACGGCAGAAAACGTACATTCAAAGGGCAATATCTTCTCTCGGAAATTCCGTGTGAACGGACTCGCCATTGTCGAATACACGTAATCAGGGATGCTTCTGAAATTATGAGTTCTCTCAACTGTCCCCATAACCTCAACCGAATACTGATGGACATTATCCATCAAACTCCGTTGCCTAAACGCACAGCTCTGGCGTTCTCTTTCGATGTCTTGCTGCGTGGAATCCGAGCTCATAGTAAAAGGCTCATCACTTCCGCGTTTCCGCTTTCGTCCTGTCCATTTTGGAACAGTGACCTTCAGCAGGATGTTGTTGGTTTGTCTGTTCATTGACTCAACTGTGCCTGCCAGCGGATCCTCTGGGCGGAGGGATAGTTGAGCCTTGTAGTCCGGCTTGGAAGGATCCAGTATCTATACCGTACGTCAGTGCTGGCGCAATGATGCATGGCGAAAAAGGACTTGCCTTGGAAATGCCGGCGTCCCCTTGTAGAGTTTTGATTGCTCTGTCGACATTTTTCACGATGCCTGGGTGTTCGACGGCCACAATGCGACGCGACGGTATGCGGTACCAGGGGGCGAATTGAGGCTCGTCTCGATCCTCGTCCATTTTGTTATTATCACTGGACTGAAATGGATCAAAAAAACAAAAATGGCAGGCAATGCTAGCCTTCGGAGTTGGTGTAGAGTGATAGTATGTGTCAAGGATGGCAACTGCGTAAGTACTCAGACATCCCGGTGCACGGGAAAATATATTTATGCGCCGCAGGGCTGATGATGTTCCGGTAAAATAGAGATAGCAGTCATCATTATCTGGCACCAGGCTTTATGCCCCGCGTGAATGAGTACTATAAACGCGAAATCGCCGGTTGCCTCGCTCGTTGAAAGGGCAGAGCGACCAGCATGAGGCACGATCGTGATAAAACTGAAGACATGCTCACGTGACCCACCCGGCTTGCTTCCCACAAACTACCGTAATCTTATCTACATGGCGCGTTATTTAGAGATAGTTAACTAGAAGCAAGAGGGATGGATGAACAACGAAGATTTTGAAAATTTAATGTTGAATGCGAAGATGACACCTGCAAGCAGACATCGCTTCCCTGTGTTATGTACAGGAAGCAGCCTGCCAACTCGGCGGCCATACTCCGTAAACGACTGAACAGTAGTTAGTTATTAACTGAGATATAAATAGCAGGAGAAAAGGAGAGTCCCGACTAGCCGGCCCCCTATTGCATTTGCGACAGGAGAAGACGCAGTCAATAGACTGACCTGGATGGCACAAGTGGTTGGAAACCTCCGAGCCAGGCATTCAAAACCCTGTTCGCAGCCACAGACAGCATCAATAAATAGTAGCCATAGAAAGAAACATTGAAGAGTAGCGCCGACAAGACCAGAAAACAAGAGGAGAGCAGCGGCAGAGGTGGTGGAAGCTGTCCTGTCGCCGGGGCCATCCCCCGCTCAGCTAAGCGACACAGGGACGGACAACCAAGTTGGACCAACCTCCACCGCCCAGACTCCAACAGACAGACAGACAGACAGACCAGCTGCCTCGCTCTGCTTCCTCCTGCACTCACGCTCCAGGTACGTTCTGCCGCTGCTGCTGATACACCACACTCTCCTTTTGAATCTCCCTCGTCGCCAGAAGCTGCGGCAATCCGCCCTGGCCCAAGAGTGAGGCTGTTGTTTAGCGTGTCGCAACAACGTACGTCGCCTGCTTCAACCACCACCACCACCACCCTGAAGAATATTTCCTCTGCACAAACAATCGCTATTCTATGCCTGCAGCCTCTTAATTGCCACCACGCGTCGTTGCCGGCCCGGGAACTCATACCTAGCATATCCACAGAACCAGAACCAAGCGTGTTTGTTGTGCCGGCCTTCCCCTCCCCCGTGCCCCGGATTGCAACTCGGAGAGCTGTTGCGGCACATACTATACCATACGCCAGTGCTCATAAAGGCAATCGAATTCATCGGGCAAGATGAAAGGTTTCAGACAGAGAGTGGTGAGTGCTCCAAGTCGGATAGCAGGGACAACGCCTCCGGAACGGGCTGTTTCGAGGAAAACATTAACAGTTGCAGCACGAACAGCTTTCGCGGGCAAAAGACTCAAATAAGTCGTCGAAGAAGCGAGATACCTCCAACACTCCGTCGAATGCCTCGCTGAGCCCTGCCCAACAAACCCAATCGACCAGTCCTAACCACGTAACCCCTACATCTTCAACAACCTCGGTGAACGAGACGAGAAGCACAAAGTCTGACAATGTGTCCCCCGCTGCTGGCAATTCGCCTGTAGCTCAACAGAATGCCCAGGGGACCGCTGTTCCAGCTGGCACCGGCCAGCATTATGTGCCTTCCGCGCCAGGAGTAGGAGGCCAGGTAGGAAACGTTCCGGGCACGCCCACAAGGCAAGGACAACAGCCTATCACCCCGAGTGTTGTCATCAGTCCCAGTGCTCCGGTGAGCAATCCCATGAATGTAATCTAACCCCGACAATCGAGGGCTAACTTTATGCCCTGCGTATAGCATGCCCCCGTTCCTCCTGGAGCGGCCGAAACCATGCCTGGTGATCTGGCGCCGCCAAAGAAGTCTCATGTCTACGACAGACTCCATTCGACGCCAAAAGATATGTCGGATGGAATTAGAACACCAAAGCGGCAGCATTCATCTAGGTTTGACATCTCCGACCAACGCCAGCGCGAATTGGAGAAGTTGCCCGGCTTTCATGAAGTTCCGCCAAACCGTCGACAGGACCTTTTCATGCAGAAGATCGACCAATGCAACATTATATTCGACTTCAACGATCCTACGGCCGATATGAAATCGAAAGAGATCAAGAGGCTGGCACTCCATGAACTCCTCGATTACGTTGCAAACAACCGTTCCGTTATTACCGAGCCAATGTACCCTCGTGTTGTCGATATGTTCGCCAAAAACCTTTTCCGCCCTATTCCACCCCCAGTCACGCCCCAGGGCGAGGCCTATGACCCCGAGGAAGACGAGCCGGTATTGGAAGTCGCTTGGCCCCATATTCAAGTTGTCTACGAGTTTTTCTTGCGCTTCATCGAAAGCCAGGATTTCAATACGAACATCGCGAAACAGTATATCGACCATCAGTTTGTTCTTCAGGTAAGAAGAGCTTTTTGAAGATTCTTATCCAAAAAAAAAAAAAAGGTTAAGAATCTATGCTGACGCCTTGTGATACAGTTACTCGAGCTATTCGATTCCGAGGACCCTCGCGAGCGCGATTTTTTGAAGACGACGCTGCACCGGATCTACGGCAAGTTCCTTAATTTGCGCTCATTCATTCGGCGCTCGATAAACAATGTTTTCTTTCAGTTTACATACGAAACTGAACGTTTCAACGGAATCGCGGAGCTGCTGGAAATCCTGGGATCGATTATCAATGGCTTTGCACTCCCACTTAAAGAGGAGCATAAGCTTTTCTTGACACGAGTTTTGATTCCAATGCACAAACCTCGAGGCTTGAGCATGTACCATCCGCAACTTGCCTATTGTATTGTTCAGTTCCTTGAAAAGGATTCTGCACTCACAGAAGATGTTAGTCTTTCTCGTCATCCACTTCGTACTGTGATGTTATGCTAACTCTTTCTTTTTTTTTTTTTCTTCGCATAGGTTGTTATGGGCTTACTCCGTTACTGGCCTAAAGTGAATAGCACAAAAGAAGTGATGTTTTTAAACGAGGTAGAAGACATCTTTGAGGTTATGGACCCTACGGAATTTGCAAAGGTCCAAGGACCACTTTTCACCCAACTGGCCAAGTCGGTTGCCAGTCCTCACTTTCAGGTGCGAGCGACCTGTTCCCTTCTCAGTTCTATGTGTCTCGATGCTAATTGCCTTCTAGGTTGCCGAGCGAGCCTTATATTTCTGGAATAATGAATATTTTTGCAACTTGGTTAGTGACAATGTGGAGACTATATTGCCCATTATGTTCGCTCCGTTATATGAAAATTCCAAAGGTCATTGGAATAGGTATGTCCTTGACCTTCCTCCTGATCGCCCTCAATCCATGATAATCTATCTGACTGACCTCATTCAGGACAATCCATAGTATGGTGTACAACGCCATGAAGCTATTTATGGAAATCAACCCACAACTTTTCGATGAGTGTTCACAGGAATATAATGAACACCAAAACGGAGCTGAAGAGCGCGAAAAGGCTCGACGTCGGAGGTGGGAGCTGCTTGCTGAACGAGCGGACCAGCGAAAGAAGGGCCTCTTATCCGACCAGCCTTCATTGGCCTCAGCTTCTGCTGCGAAGTCGGACGATATTGATCCGGTGACTCAAGACAGCCAGAAGCGACTAAACGCCCTCAAACTTGACGAATCCGCAACCATTAAGGAGAGGAGCTCGAACTCGGTTAGTGAACCCCCGAATATTTTTGCTACCGTATGATGCACATTGCGTTACACATTGCACTTAATTCATCCTCCTGATATGTTTGACATCCTCCATTTGCTAAGATATTGCCGTTTGTGTTTTTGTAGCAATCCTGATTCTAACCGTGAACGTCCATGTGTTCCAGAGACATGCTCGCCGACGACGCAGTGGAAGCGGCAGTAGTGTGAGGATGCGACGCAGTTCTCTTGGCAGTTCCTCTAGTTCTCCAGCAACGGTTGTACTGTCTCGGAGCAACTCAACTCGACAATAATGTGTCTACGCATTGAGCATTTCTCTTATTTCCGTGCCATAGCATGTGCCCCATCTTCGTGTCCTGCAAATATCATAGCGGCTGCGTATAACTGTGGTTCCTCTACGGCTACCCCCATGCTTGTTTTCCTTTGTTACTTTGGCCTCTGGTTTTTCTCTTTACGATAACGTTGGTACCCCCTGACTTGGTTGCAAATTCTGGCCCCCCTTGCGCCGCCCCCCCGCCTCTCTATATTTGTTCGTGTATATGGTTTAACCTATGTTTCTTCTGCCGTCTGCTTCTTATGCCAACATGAGAGCTCAAAGACCAACGCGGGTTACTTGAGCACATCATTTGAAGTTTGCAATCCATCCTTTCTAGACAGTGTTGTTTCGGGTATGGAAAATGGGTGAATAGGCGTTTTGCGTCCAAAGTACCAGCTACTAATGGACATTTTTTTGTTTCTTTTCCTTCTCTTTCCCCCTTTTGTCCTTTTTGTCCTGCTTGCTGGTGTCTCGTTCACAGCTATTTAGAGATTGCGGGCGAGCTCCAACGGTGTCGCATGAAATCGACATTCTATATCACCGTTTATAATTGAAGATAAGACAAATAGTTATTGAGAGAACTTTGGAAATATGATTATGGAGGAAATAAATCCAGCGCAGTTGACTGTACTAGGGAATTGGGATAAGAGAAAGGTACCCGAGTATCTCAGCATAGACGCAGTAGTGGAGCGGAAGAATGATTATCCGTGGACTGCGCCACCAAGGCCCGCAGAGGCATCGATGGAGGCGGTGACATAACAAGCAGTTGCATGGTTCACTAAACTGAAACTACAACAACTCACATAGGTGGCTTCTACTCCTCATAATTCTGCGAATCCTGAAACCGATCAACGTCGCAGAAAGTATCTGACAACATCCTATCTTATTCAAATAGGGGGAGTCACTACCAGTTGCCTTACAAGCTACACGAATTCCGAGCCCTCATCTTACATACATATCGAAACTGTTTCAACACTCGAATCACCACCTCCGTTAACTGAGAGGACAAATCAACGATTCTATTAAACGTGAAATGTTCAACCGCAATAATGTCCCCTTCGCAGCAAGGCCCAATCCTGGACCCGACCCGCGAAGGACTGGCTACGACCCTGTAATGGGGGATCCTAATCGCGGGGGTTACGGAGGAGGTCCGCCACCTCCGCAGCGAGGACCACCACAAGGTGCAAGGAGGCCAGTTAACGACGCTGCGGGAGCGACCTGGTCGTTGCGCTCAGAGAAGAGTCCGAATACTCTTTATACATATGGAAATCTGTAAGATGGGGTTGGACAATTGGAATTCTTCTTTTTCTCTATTACAGTTATGCTGACAATATTCCTTTTTTTAAACAGGGTAGCCGTTTCTCCTGCGGATTTCCCTCCTCAAGCCTTTGGACGCGACTTTTACCTACTAGTTAATGACTACTACGTCCTATCTGCGCGGCCTCTTGATGGCTTCCCACAAGGGTACATTGGTTTCTCGGAGCGGCAGCGAATGTGGGCTAGGATCGCCGTTACAGATTCTGTGAGAGCACAGATTTACAACCCATTCACTCAGGAGAGAAAGGCCTATCTCGGCTCGAGTGATGTCGAGGTGGGTTTCGCCGGGAAATCTAGGACAGAAGAGCCGTACGACCAGGGTGAACTGGCAAATGCTGTCATTGAGGTGTGTCAAAGCTCGTTCATATATTCAGACCTTTGTGTGCGTTGTGATGTTTCTGACTGGAAGTAGAAATTCAAAGACCAGATTTTGGCACCGGGCCAAAAAGTGCTGATGGACCATCGGGGTATTCCTCTTTCTTTGACTATAAAGACTGTCGAGTTGATAGACTTGATGTCCGAGAAGCAAGCCCAACCATCGGAAGGCGGCGTTGCAACTGATCCTACAGCGCGAGGCATTCTTACCCCTCATACACTTCTCAACTTTTACAAAGATGCAAAGAGCGGAATCAATTTGAAAGCTTCTGACCGCAGGCCTGCCGCCAACTCCATCATCCGACCGGATTTCAAGTTCGAGGATATGGGCATCGGCGGCTTGGATGCGGAATTTAGCACAATTTTTCGTCGAGCCTTTGCGTCGCGGATCTTCCCGCCTGGTTTAATCAACAAATTGGGTATACAGCATGTTAAGGGTATTCTTCTATATGGAGTTCCCGGAACAGGAAAGACATTAATTGCCCGGCAGATTGGTAAAATGCTGAATGCTCGAGAACCCAAGATCATCAACGGTCCAGAAGTGCTTAATAAATATGTCGGCCAGTCAGAAGAAAATATTCGAAAAATGTTTGCCGATGCTGAAAAGGAATACAAGGAGAAAGGAGACGAGAGTGCGTTGCATATCATCATTTTTGACGAACTTGATGCCGTCTGCAAACAGCGTGGCAGCGGAGCTGGTGGTGGCACTGGTGTTGGTGATAGCGTCGTCAATCAATTGCTTTCGAAACTTGACGGAGTTGACCAGCTCAACAATATTCTCTTGATTGGTATGACGAATAGGAAGGACATGATCGACGATGCCTTGTTGCGACCTGGTCGTTTGGAAGTTCACATGGAAATCGGCTTGCCAGATGAGAAGGGTCGCGCTCAAATCCTGAAAATTCACACTCAAAAGATGAGGGATAACAATGTGATGGAACCTGATGTCAATTTGGTGGAACTCGCGCAGCTAACGAAGAATTACTCGGGTGCTGAAATTTCCGGACTTGTGAAGGCTGCAACCTCGTTTGCCTTCAATAGGCACGTCAAGCCCGATACGGTGGCCGGTATTAAGGAGGATGTTTCCAACTTGAAAGTTCGACGAGACGATTTCCTAAATGCTCTTGATGAAGTCAAACCGGCCTTTGGTGTGGCGGAGGAGCAGCTTAGTGACTGCGTTCAGCAGGGTATCATCCATTATTCCCCCAGAGTGCTTGAAATCCTGAAAGAAGGAAACCTGTTTGTGCAACAGGTCGGTGCAGAAGGCGGAACCCCTCTATTCTCAGTCTTATTCCATGGCCCTCCGGCAAGTGGTAAGACTGCGCTTGCGGCACGAATAGCCATAGACTCGGGCTACCCATTCATTCGGCTTATTAGCCCGGAAGACATGGTTGGCTTCAGCGAGACAGCGAAAATTCAGCATATAACAAAGATCTTCATGGACGCGTACAAGAGTCGCACCAGTATTGTAGTTGTTGACAACATTGAGCGAATAATCGACTGGGTTCCCATTGGCCCTCGCTTCAGCAACTCTGTGCTTCAAACTTTGATGGTTTTCACTAGGAAGGCTCCTGCGAATGGACGCCGTCTCTTGATTCTAGCGACTACCACAGAGCGCGCCCTACTCAAAGATCTAGATATGTACAGCTCGTTCAATGCCGACATCGAGGTCCCAACAGTCAGCACATACGATGAGCTGCGGCATATCCTAGGGACCTCTGAATCATTCACACCGGAGGAGGTTGACAGAATTCTTGGAAGCATCTATAGCATTGAAGATGACCAGAAGATCGGTGTGGGAGTCAAGAAGATCTTGCTGGGGATTGAGACGGCCAAACAGGATGTTGACAAGGCAGGCCGTTTTGCAAACGTGATTAATCGGTTGATAGACCAGGATAGAAAGGTTCCCGCCTTTTCATGATTGTTGATTTGATGCAGGCTCATTCCACGCCGGCGGTTCAATGTATCAAGGAAGAATTAGTGGTTTCATCTTAGAATTTTGTCAATTGCTGACAACTATCACTAGCAAAGTCCTTTTGTTAACAAACGTAGTATACTGCCTGTATTGGGAAGAAAGGCAATGCTGCAATTCCCCCAAGTTGATTGGCTGCTACATAGCATGTGCCTATATGGAGTACACCGCAAACACATTTCTGATTGGACAGCGGCTAATTTTCCCCTTCCGTAAACAACGCCTGCCGCGCGACTAAGTGGAGTTCCGCGCCGGAGAAATAATGTTCCCCAGAATTACTCTAATTGGCATAGCGCTCTGTACATAGGCTCGTCGATTGCCCGCAAGTCTAGGCGTGATCTTTCGCGCAGGCCTAGCTCCATTGCTTTTGCAAGTTACTCACTCAAGTTATTTTGCGCAGACGACAACCTTCCTTTGTTTTCTCTAATTTCTGTCTTTATTACTTGGTATTATTTCTTCTACCTATCTCTTTTCTTTTCAGATAGGACGTTTTATGAGCGGTCTACTTCCTTAACGAAATCTTTCTATCCACTCTTTCTCTACGAAGCGTCAGGCTTGCGCGATCTTCTACCACAGGACTGTACCCTGTGCATGCCATATGAATTACGACCATTAAAAGTCATTGCGACCTCACCAGAGCATGCCGGCCCGTAGGCCTGGCATTTGAATGGACAAAGCTTGCACAACTCGAGTCAACAGCAAATTGATCTCTCGGCCTTCCTCTGGTCGCGACCATGGCGGAGTCGAAAATCGACATTTTCGTGGAGAAGCTTGGGGATGAGAAATGGGGTATGGAATTGACCAACTATTACTGATGTTGAAAATTATTGCTGACACTTGAATGCTTTGGATTGCCAGAAATCGCGAGGAGAGCAAATGTCGCTGTGGAACTTAGAGATTCGATTGAAAGCCTCTGTTCCGGGTCCAGCTATCCCATCTTCCTTACCAAGCTATGGCCTGTTTTCAAGAAAGTCCTCAAGGGCGAGCCGGTGTTCATAAACACGTCCTTCGACCATGTAAGAAAGCTTCGAAGTCCTTTGGTCATTATGTGAAGGAAGGATCTTACTAAGATATTTCCATGTTGTTCAGAAACTGCGGAATGCCGTTTTTGAAACCTTGCATCGCCTTCCAACAGCTTCTCCTGATGTCGAGCCCTACGCCATTGACATGGTAGATACGTTGATGCAGCTCGTGAGGGTCGAAAATGAAGAAAATGCAGTGTTGTGTATGAAAACCATTATGGACCTCGTGCGGAATCAAGTCAAGGCAACAGCTCCCCGAGTACAGCCTTTTCTTGAACTTATTCAAGAAATGTTCCAAGGTATGGAAGAAGTTGTACGGGATACTTTCGATACTCCAATTCAAGGAACAACACCTGGTGTGCCTCCCACCGGCGTTGTGCCTTCCACACCGGGGGCTGCCTCTCAGAATTTTCAATCACCAAGACCATCCTCCCCCAGCACGTCGGTCACAGACCTGGGTCCGGATCAGCAGCAGGCGAACCACCACTTGCAAAAGGGTATGCAGTCTTTCAAGGTGTTGGCAGAATGTCCTATCATTGTTGTTTCGATTTTCCAGGCACATCGTACCACTGTGAATGCCAACGTGAAATTATTCGTCCCTCTTATCAAGAGTATTCTCCTCCTACAAGCTAAGCCTCAGGAGCGAGCACATGCCGAAGCCCATGCGCAAGGGAAGCTGTTCACCGGTGTGTGCAAGGAAATCAAGAATCGAGCCGCTTTTGGGGAATTTATCACTGCTCAAGTGAAGACCATGAGTTTCCTGGCTTACCTTCTCCGCATATACGCACAGCATTTACAGGATTTTTTACCCAGTCTCCCAAATGTCGTCGTTCGCTTGTTGCAGGATTGCCCACGTGAAAAGTCTAGTGCCAGGAAGGAGCTTCTCGTTGCCATCCGTCATATCATCAATTTTAATTATCGAAAGATTTTCTTGGCCACGATTGACCAGCTCTTGGATGAGAGGACTCTTATCGGAGACGGGTTGACGGTTTACGAGACCATGCGGCCTCTCGCGTACAGCATGCTTGCTGATTTAATCCATCATGTGCGAGATCACCTCTCGAGGAATCAAATACGCAAGACTGTGGAGGTGTATACGAAGAATCTACACGACGAGTTTCCCGGAACCAGCTTTCAGACTATGAGTGCCAAGTTACTATTGAACATGGCCGAAAAAATATCCAAGCTAGAAGACAAACAAGATGCGCGATATTACCTTATCATGATTCTGGATGCCATCGGTGATAAATTTGCTGCCATGAATTACCAGTTCGAGAACGCAGTCAAGGTGTCCCGCGCAAACCGCAACCGCAGCGATTCAACCCCCGAGAACTATCTGGCTGATCGGGATACTCCTCCAGACTGGGATGAAATTGACATTTTCACAGCTGTTCCCATCAAGACTTCCAACCCGCGGGATCGAGGCGGTGATCCAGTTTCCGACAACCTGTTTCTCTTCAAGAACCTCATCAATGGGTTGAAGAATATTTTCCACCAATTGAAGAACTGCAACCCAACTCATATACAAATAGATCCCAGCAACACACCGATCAATTGGCCAGAAGTTTCATATGGGTACAATGCTGAGGAGGTCAAAGTCATTAAGAAACTGTTCCATGAAGGTGCTCGCGTATTTCGATATTACGGTGTTGACCAGCCTCCGCCTGACATCAACTACTCCTCCTCGTTTGAGTATCTTGCAAGTCAGTATACGGCTCCCATGGGTACCCAGGAGAAAGAGCTTCTTGAGAGCTTCGGAACGGTCTTTCATTGCATCGACACAGCTGCCTTCCACGAAGTTTTTCATAGCGAGATACCATATCTTCATGAACTCATGTTTGAGCACCCTGCCCTCATTCATCTACCGCAATTTTTCCTCGCAAGTGAAGCAACTTCACCCGCCTTTTCTGGGATGGTACTCCAGTACCTAATGGATCGCATTCATGAAGTTGGAACATCTGATATGGCAAAAGCCAAGATTTTGCTGAGAATGTTCAAGCTATCTTTCATGGCTGTCACTCTCTTCTCAAATCAAAACGAGCAGGTTCTCTATCCTCACGTTACGAAGATAGTTACGAAATGTATTGAGTTGTCTGTGACCGCGGAGGAGCCTATGAATTATTTCCTTTTGCTACGTTCACTGTTCCGCAGCATTGGAGGTGGAAGATTCGAGTTATTATACAAAGAGCTCCTTCCGCTACTAGAAATGCTTTTGGAAACCTTTAACAATCTTCTTCTCGGCGCTCGGAAACCTCAAGAACGAGATCTCTATGTTGAGTTAACTTTGACTGTGCCGGCACGTCTAAGTCATCTTCTTCCCCATCTCAGTCATCTGATGCGCCCAATCGTGGTTGCTCTGCGAGCAGACTCGGATTTGGTAGGCCAGGGTCTACGAACACTCGAATTGTGCGTGGATAATCTGACAGCCGATTACTTGGATCCCATAATGGCGCCAATAATGGACGAGCTGATGACGGCCCTGTGGGATCATCTACGGCCACATCCTTACAGCCATTTCCATTCTCATACAACGATGCGCATACTTGGTAAACTAGGTGGTCGCAACCGTAAATTTCTGAACCACCCGCCAGAGCTCTCCTTTAAGCAATTCGCAGATGAAGTTCCAAGCTTTGATGTCAGGTTAATTGGACCAAACGAGAAACGTCCTTTCCCAATCGAAATCGGGGTTGATGTAGCCTATGCGAAACTTTTGGAGAATCCAAAGACACCCGCAGCCAAGGCTTCGGACGCATATTACAAACAGCAAGCCTTCCGTATGCTTAGCTCGCAACTGAAACTCTACATTGGTTATGACAATTTGCCTGACGATTTGGCATCTCTCATTCGGCTTCAGGCCGATGATCTCCTGGAGAATAAAATATCAGGACCCATCGACATACTAGACAAGTCAGAGAGATCCAGTTCCATTCCCAAGAAACTGGCGCAAGAGGAGAGTTTGAAGAAGCTTATGAAGGCGTGCTTTTTTGCTACTACCATTCCCGATCTCCAGCAGACCGCAAGTGCTTTTGTTGCAGACATCTGTCGTCATATCGTTGTTGTCGAAGTCGGTCGAGCATTTGCACAGGCTAGACATGCCCGGCGACCTTTTGATGTGAATAGTGGCGAAGGCCCTGTTTATCTGGATTCCCGTTTGCTGGCTAATGTTATTGTTGATTGTCTATCTTCTGATAACCCCCAGATGCGAGACTCTTCCAAAAAGGCAATGGAAGTTATCAAAGAGACTGCTGCCATTATTTTTGGCGGTTCAGATAAAGCATCCAAGTTACCATTTTGGCAACATCTTGGCCGTGTATTCTGTCATAGCTGTCACAGCGAGGAATGGTTTACCAAGTCTGGAGGTAGTCTGGGAATCCATCTTTTAGCTACCGAGTTAGGTCTGGGCGATAGCTGGCTCTTTGAGCGACAAACTGAGTTCGTTCGTGCTTTAATGTATGTCATCAAAGACACGCCGCCCGACCTTCCTGCAAGCACTCGCATCAGAGCACAGGGGACCCTGGAACTCATCCTCAGGCGCTGCAATAAGGGAATATCAGTAGATGATGTGAAGAACGAGAAAGCCCGTCTCTACACGCTGTGTGGTTTTTTCATTTATGAGCTGTCGCATATGAATAAACACGTTCGGGAAACCTCACAGAAATCATTCTCCACTCTCGCAGAAGTTCTTGGCTGCGAGATGCATGAGCTTATGTATCCTGTTAGGGATCGTCTGCTTCAGTCCATTTTCAACAAACCTCTTCGGGCCCTACCATTTCCTGTGCAGATTGGTTTCATTGACGCTATTACCTTCTGCTTAAGCCTCCATAAGAACATTGTTGTTTTTAACGACGCCCTCAATCGCTTGATGTTGGAATCACTAGCCCTTGCTGACGCCGAGGACGAGTCCCTAGCTCCAAAGCCGAATGAATTTAAAAATGCAGAAATGATTGTCAATCTACGGGTAGCATGCCTTCGCCTGCTTTCAATGGCTATGAGTTTCCCTGAATTTGGCGCTGGGGCAAATGCTAGTAGTCGCAGTCGTGTCATTTCTGTCTTCTTCAAATCTCTGTATTCGAAATCTCCAGAGATTATTGAAGCTGCAAATGCTGGGTTACGTGATGTGCTCACACAGACGAATAAGCTGCCCAAAGATCTTCTTCAAAATGGTCTTCGTCCAATTCTCATGAACCTCCAGGACCCAAAGCGTTTGACTGTGGCTGGACTCGATGGCCTGGCTAGACTTTTAACACTCCTGACCAATTATTTCAAAGTTGAGATTGGTCAGCGTCTTCTGGAACATATGAAGGTTATTGCAGATGATGCTACATTGCAAAAGGTTTCTTTCAACCTCGTTGAGCAGAATCCGGCGATGAAGATTGTGGCTTCAATTTTCAACATCTTTCATCTTCTCCCTCCCGCAGCCACCACGTTTATGGAAAACCTGGTTAACAGAGTTCTCGATCTGGAGGATAAATTGCGACGAACATCGAATAGTCCTTTCCGAAAGCCCCTCGTGAAGTACCTCAATCGTTATCCCAAGGAAAGCTGGGCATTCTTTCAACAGCGTTTTGGTGATGAGCGCTATGGGCGATTCTTCGGTCAGGTCTTAGCCGATCCTGATAGCGCAGTGCTTCGATCCGCCGTGGTTGCAGATACTGAAGGCTTTATCAATGCTACCTTTGGCAGTGAAACGACTGATGGAAAAAACACAGCAGCTATCAATGCAATCCATATCGTTCATTCGATCAGTATACATGAAACAACGAAGAAATGGCTTGTGACCCAGAGTAGCCTGCGCCCAAAGTTACTTAGTACTGGGCGAGATCTTGAGACTAAATTGAGGAATGATAAGCTCCCAGCAAGTGAGCGATTGAGAGTCGAACAGGCTGAGGACCAGTTGATGGAAGTTTTCACTATTTATCTCGCTAATTCACTTCAAGACCTTGATTTCTTGTTTGAGGTCATTAACGGCCTCTCCGCTGACGAGTTGAAGCGGA